GATCTATTCAGATTGGCTTTTGTGATTGTTGGCAGGCATGAGTGTTTGTTGGTCTTACCACATTCATTCTCTTCTGTTGATTGTTGCTCGAGTTAGTTTTGATAGATTTGGATGTTATTTCCTTTGGGTGATACATTTGCGAGCATTGTGCTTGTTAGTCAATGATACTTTGTGTTCTTTGAGTTCTCTCTAATAAGTTGTTGGCTTACTGTCTACTATCTTCAGTAGTTAAATTTCATCATTGAGTTTCCTTGATGATATATACTAGCTATTGAATGTTGTTGGATGGTGATTCCTATGTTTACCAATTATAGTGATCTTGGTGGTTCCTATCTACAATACTACTGGTTTATCAGATGATAACTTGCTTAGAATACTTTTGTGTTCTACTCTAAGATATAATCACTAGTAATTAAGCTTCTCAGATATCATTGTCTCTGACTTTGATATTGTCCATTTATTGATCTTTGAGTTTGGGCCAGTATAGGCAGATTGGCTTCGGCACTTCGTGTGCATGTTGAAATCTTTAGTCATGGGGTAGCTACTATCGACTGGTCACATAACCCGCCTCTCTATCGATGTTCTTTATTCCGTTAAAAGGGCGTGACCGTGTAAACAACTCTAACTGCCTGTTTACAGTAGTCTATCTAAACCTTATCGACGGGTTTGGTTTCTTTGCTTAGAAGGGTTGGGGCCTCTGGCTTCTCTCTCTATGTTCCTGCGGGCAGGGGTATATCACACTTTTGTAAGCTAGATGACTCCCAGAGCAGCAAGGGTGGCTGACTCTATTGGTCATTTCTTTGTCGGCGACGGCCGAAAGGTGTTTGAGCTGGTAGCGCATCCGCGTTAGACATTGAGGTTGCCCCCTAACTCATTTAAGTTGGTGCATTTCTTACATAGTGTGAGTACCGTGAACTTTTTCTGGAGTTGTTTCCTTGGCAGTATTCTAGACTCAAGTATGCATCGACAAGGACGTCGATCTTCCCCAAGGGGGGGAGAGTGTCGCAAATGTGACTTCGGGTATCGAAAGTTACCTACCGACCAGTCCTTACGGACACTCTTTCCTTATTGCCATGACGGTAGGAGGTCGGTACTGCTGGTTCCCATCATTAGCCCCTCTTGTTCAAGTGTTAGTTTACTGGGCTTAGCACCTGTACTTAGCCAGATGGACATAAGGTAGGAACTCCTATGTGTTTCTAGCTGAGCATACTCGGCCTGGCTTTTAGTTCTCTTTTGCTCTGCCTTGCACTGGCTTGACAAGAACCCTCGCGTATTGAGATTGGTCCCTCAATATCGCTGGATGATAGCTTACCATGTCTGCCAAACACCCTCGCTATCATGCCCTTTATGTTGGTCTCATTTCGGTCCCAAATGTTATTTATGGAAAGTGTCCAGATTTGCTCATTTGGCATATCTACGGAATGTAGAGATCGGCCTGAACACAATGGTGTTCATCCCATGTCCAAATTCGCAATCTAAGGACATTCCATATTTAGTAAGTTTTGAGCTTGTCCCAGAGACTAACTCCTGATACTAAGGGAGGCTTGGGGTGAAAGCCCAGAGCGTGTGTTCCTCAAGGGGGGGGGGGGGGGCTGTGGGGGGTTCCAAATGTATAGTAGGGATAGTGGGTAGGTCGGGCATGGCCGACCAACCTGAGGCATAGTCTAGCTCCCGCTTGCGTGCCTGTCCTTGTTCTGCGTCCGGCTTGGGTCTAAGCCCAAGTTCCATTCCATGCTAGCTGGTGGAGTACCCATGTCCTCGCGTTAGGCCACCGGTATGCCGAAATAGCGCCAGACTCCGTTTGGCTCCGTTTTGCGTGTTGGTCCTGGCATTGGGATGCTGGTTGCTCTAGGACTGTTCCAAGTCGCTCCGGGCTCTTGTCCCTTCGCTCCTTGGGCAATATGCTCGGGAGTTGCTCCATGGTCCGATTCCATCACTCCTTGGTGTCACGCTTGGGAGTTTGGCACCGTTCCTTCGTTCAGTGGCCCAAGGCCCTGAACCTCGGGTTCCTATGGACACGTGGCATGGACACATGGTATGTGACACGTGGCATCTGTCACGTGGCACAAAGAGGGTTTAGGTTCCGCTTCATGGTGTTATCCTATGGTAAATCACTATAGGATAAAGGGTCAAAACCACGTGCGCTACAATATGATCCAGCAGAATTTCACATCAAATTAGATTTATAATGAGGATATGTAAATTGTGGGAAGGAACAAGTCAACTGGTGAACCTCCTTGTCGAGATGATTTTCTAACTATGCAGGATATTAATAATTTACATAGGAAGCATTTGCTTTCAACTTATTGACTACATGAGAATTATGCACAACACGTATTTAAAAGAACACAAATCTCAAGAAAGTATTTTTCTAGTAGGAAGGTGATTGAGGTAAAGATTATTTTACCATAGGGATTCAAACACCTTGGCAACCGCAAAAGATGGTGGACTTTGCAAATAATAATTTGTTGAGTCTTGATGCAACTTTTAGAACTAATTATTACAAGATAAAATTTTGGAATTTCAACAGCACGTTGATAGTTATAATATATCCTCCAAGCAAGCAAAACCTTTGGTGGAAAGAATTACAAGTAAAAGAAAAGCTTCTAGTAGCCTAGAAGCAATTCCTTTTACTAGGCAAAGGAACAACAAGAAAGAAAAGCTCTTTAAACAAAAAACTTAATCTTAGCAAAGAATAAATTTATAAAAAAACTCTTTATGTACTTGCATTGCATATGTTTAAATTAGTGAGAAGATTTCATAGCAAAAGTGGATCACCACTCCTATTGTTGATCATGGTCATCCATGACACTCATTGGCACGTAAAAAGGCATCCATGCATGTGCTGATTGAAATTGGGGTTGTGGCCACTTGGAAATAATTAGGGCGCATGCTAGGCGTGGGCAGGGAGTGCAGGTACGGGCGGGAGTGCGCAGCTGCAACAGATGGGAGAGGCATGATGCCACATCACTGCCAGGTAAGTAGAGAGAGAGAGAGAGAGAGAGTGAATAGAGAGAGAGAGAGAGTGAACCAGGATGGTGTTTAATGGAAGGCACGAAGAGTGCTTTTATTTTAGTAGTTATGGTATCATGGAGATTTTAAGCTTTTTAAGTTTAGAAAGTGCATTGTGTTCAAAACAGGAGTTTAATTAACTTCCATTTCAAAATCAAATTAAATCCTCAGAGTGTCCAAGAGCCACTGGCGATTAAGTCCCCCAGCTTGCAAAGCCGTCATATAATCCTTATAAACCATAGGCTTAAACACTGGAGAGCCCTCCACCAATTTGCTCGCTGGGTGCACCAAACTCTCCCAATTTGGCCCCATTGCCACTGGAATGGACATTCGATCTTCACTGCTATTAACCACAGCTCTGTGCTCGGCGCTCTTATACTTGTCATTGCTCAAAATCTGCAAGAAAAGAAAAAGAAAACATTAATTTTGACCAGTCAGTCAATGCTAGTAAACGAGAAAGAGCAAACGCTGACCTGGATCTGCTCGCCCAGATTGACCACGAACGAGTAAGGTATGGGCTTCACGGAGTACCACTCGTTAGCGTGCATCACCTGGAGACCCTCGACGTGATCTTGGAGCAGCAGCGTGATCGATCCGGGGTCCGAGTGTGGGCCGATTCCCAGCACCAGATCGGGCTCGGGGCAAGCAGGATAGAAGTTGAGAGCCATGATTTGCGAGCAGCCATTGAATGCCTTGTCGATGTAATCCTTTGGAAGATCCAAGCTCTCGGAGATGAGCTCCAGGAGGAACTTTGCAAGGTTGCGAACGCGAGTGGAGTAATCGGCAGTAACTTCCCTATAAGATGATCATATACCAGCGATGTTAAGAAAGGATGGCAAGAAGGTATTTATACCTGTAAGATGCTGGCTTTTCAGGCCAGAGTTCTTGCATCTCGGCCAGTGGGAGGCAGCTATGGCGGAGGTAATCTCTCCAGCTAAAGACCTTGTCTTGTGTTACATTGAAGCTGGTTCCATACCTCATTCGGGATTCGGTGTCTGTGGAGAAGTAGCGCATTTTCTCCTCGTTTGGGAGAGCGTGGAATTCGCGAGCCACCGATTGCATTTCATCCACCAAAGAATGGGGAACACCGTGATTGATCACCTGTATGGCGAAGATCACACAATTCTCGATCAATTCTATACCCAGTGATGGAACAAAGAGATTTTGGGACATCCACCACCCAGCAAGAACAATAGCACACCTGGAAGAAGCCCCATTTCACGCAAGCTTCACGGATTTGCGGGACAAGCGCTGCTCGAGCCTCGCTCGAATTCAAGGCGGCGCCAAGATCCAGGACTGGGAAGCTTTCCTCGCGATGAACGGCATTTGGGCGCTCCTCTTTGGATCGGATGTAAATGCCGGGCAGCTTGTCCAGGCCCGAATCCACCAGATTCTTCACACCCAAGTGGAGTGGAAGAACTTCGGCGGCCATTGTTGAGCTCTTCGCAAAGATAAGCTTCCTCTGGTTTTATACTAAACCTTTCTTGGGGGATACGAAAAAATGTCTTGGATTTTCTAGATTCTAAAAGAGGTTCGGTCATGTGCGGCTGCTAAGAAGGAACTACGAATCTAAAAGTTGGCATAGCAAAATGAACTACCGCTCAGCGGTCCAGATGGCATCACGAATGGACGGACGTGATTGCTCTATTGGTCTCGAGGATATTCCAGGGCCATGCCACGGGCAAAGGCAATGTCGTCTTCGAGGGCGGAGGCGCCACCGTCGGCGCTCCAGCCCGCGCGGATTCTCTTCTCCGGAGTCAAGGTACCCGAGGGGGAAGGAGGAGGAGGAAAGAGTCCTTATCAGCGAGGTTCTTGTCCAAGATAAAGATGGGCAGGAGTTGGAAAACTCGGAGATTTTGGCCACTGCTCGACAGGCTCTAAAGTCGTGTAAATCGAATTACGCGCTCACGACGAAAGAGGTCCAAGAGGACGTTCATCGGATCATCGAGACTGGATTTTTCGCGTCTTGCATGCGAAGATAGACGAGATGGAGTCAGGCTGATTTTCAAGGTGCTGGCTGCTGATCCTTCTATTTTACTTCCCTTTTGCTGCATTCTCACAATCTTTTCCACAGGTCGAGGCTAACCAAGAACTTCGTGGCCTTGTTTGCAATAGCGCAAACGTTCTTCCCACGAAGGTTATCGAGGATGCCTTTCGAAACGAGTATGGTATGCCATTTGTTTCTCTTTTCATCTTTTTCCTGAGTGGGGAAGTAGCATTAAGAATGTGTTGCATTGCTCTTTAAGTTTTGCAGGAAAAGTTGTGAACATTCAAAGGCTTAACACGGTTCTCGACACTTTGAATGGATGGTACCGAGATAGAGGCTACTTTGCACAGGTAGATTCTTGCGCATTCCTTTTTTTTGAGATGGTTCTAGTGGTAGTACACAGGTGACAGACCTGGAGATAATGCCAGACGGTATTCTCAAAGTACAATTTGCTGAGGCAGTAGGTAACAACATCAATATACGATTTTTGGACAGGAAAACGTAAGCTTTTCTAGTCCACGGGATGTGCAAAGTCAAGGCGCATGACAAGGTATATGCGAATAATGTAGCGGACAGGCTCGCCAAGACAGGGCGCCAACTCGAGGGGCGGAAGATCCAGTGGTTCCACGTAGAAAGGTCTGGTGCGATTGTGAAATTGTGAAATATAGTGAGATTATATTTTAATGTAGTGTTGATACATTAATAACTTTTTCTTTCCCTTTTTTTGAAAAGGCTTGGTTAACTAAATTGTGAGGAAAATATTTGGCCTATGCAGGTTTCGAACCTGCGACCTTGGCGTTATTAGCACCACGCTCTGACCAGCTGAGCTAATAGGCCTTAAACAATCAATGATGATTTTAATTTAATCAAATAAAGAATTTATGAAGCAATGAGCGCTCTGGACAGGGTTCGAACCTGTGACTTTCTGGTTACTATCCACAGACGCTCTATCCACTAGCTAGATTTTCATTAAGTTCAAATTATGGTACAAGATCTCAAAAATACCTATTGGAGGAAGCAAAGTCCATGGCTGCTTGGTGCTGCTTAAGTTGATGCCCATTAAGTGACCTTCATCCTCTGTTATAATCTCAGCATCTCTCATGTCTCTATTGAGCACACTAGTTAGACATGATATAGCTTCAGTTTGCTTAAGTAGAACCTGGAAAACAAACACGCCCTGATAAGAATAGAGAGCTACTGGAATCAAAATATTGCACCTCTTGAATATCAGTCAAGCTTTGCTCATCAAGTTGGCCTGGTAGAAAGGATGCATTTCTCTATGCTGCATGAAATTGACAAGACCGAGTCCACTTTTCTTGGAAGCTCTATTGTTGGCTGGAGCTAAGAAAGTAAAGGGGAGTGTTTTAGCTAGTTATGCCTCTAGTTATGGCCTTTTAGGGGACAATATTGTAGCATATGTAGTTTTCACCCTTAAGATTTACCATAAGATAACTATGAAGTAGAACCTAAACCCTCCATATGCCATGTGTTATATGCCACATGCCACATGCCATGTGTCCAAAAGACAGTGGAGTGGAACCCGAGTTCAAAGGCCTTGGGCCATTGAATGAAGGAACAGTGCTAAACTCTCAAGTATAGAGCCAAGGAGCATTAGCACTAGAGCATAGAACAATTCCCAAACATACAACCCAAGAAGCAAAGGGATAAAAGCACAAAGTAACTTAAATCAGTCCTAAAGTATCCAACATCCCAATGCCAAGGCCAACATGCAAAACAAAGCTAAATAAAGTTTGGCGCTCTTTTAGCATACTGATAGCTTAACGCAAGGATATGAGTACTCCACCAGCTAGCATGGAATGGAACTTGGGCTTAAACCCAAGCCGGATGCAAAACAAGGACAGACACACAAGCAAGAGCTAAATTATGCCTCAGATTGGTCAGTTATGCCCACCTACCCACTATTCCTACTATGCATTTGGAACCCCCCATATCCCACCCCTCTGAGGAACACATGCTTTGGGCTTTCACCCCAAATTTCCCTTAATACCAGGAGGTAGTCTCTAAGACAAACTTGAAATTTACTAAATATGGAATGTCTTTAGATTGCAAATTTGGATACGGGACAAACACCATTGTGTTCAGAAGAATCTCTACATTCCGTAGATATACCAAATGAGCAAATCTAGATACTTTCCATAAATAGCATTTAGGACTAAAATGAAACTAACACAAAGGGCATGATAGCAAGGGTGTTTGGCAAACATAATAAGCTATCATCTAGCGATATTGAGGGATTAGTTTCAATATGTGAGGGTTTTTGTCACTAGCCAGTGCAAGACATAACGAAACAGAAACTCTTTACTAGGCTAAGTATGCTTAGTTAATAACACGTAGGAATTCTATCCTTATACTCGTCCCGTTTAAGTACACTTGAAATGCCCAGTTAACTCCACTAACACAAAAGGGACTGATAAAGGGTTCAACAATACCAACCTCCTGCCGTCATGGTAGTAAGGAAAGAATAATCAAAAGGACAATTGATAGGTAACTTTCGATACCTGAAGTTACATTCACGACAAATATAATGTTTTGGAATTTCTTATAATAAAGATGCCTTCTAAGAATTTAGGTTCTAGGTTAGGAAAAGTAGTCTTCCAACCACATTGGAGGCAATCTTGATTGAAGAGGCATTGGCTCTTAGAAGCTTGGTAGAGCTGTTTTTTCTCCTCCTCCCTTCCAAAGGCAATGCTCTCAAATAATATTTTGACTGTTTTAATTTCTTTATTAATTAAATCCTAAAATTTCCCTTCTAATAGCATGTTGTATATTATGTATATTAGAACTCCAATTAAATATGAAGAATTAAATAAGCCCATCCTTCCAACAAAGTTTCCAATTCACAGAACAATGCTATTTCCAATTTATTTGAATGATAGATAAAAGAATCCTCAAATAATCACTAAAAGCTGTGGTGAGGGGAGGTGAGGACTTCCAAGGAGATGAAAGAGCCTCTTTAGCTATAACAAGGAAACCTTCTTGGTGAAGAGTGCTTCTTATTAAACACCATCCTAATTCACTCTCTCTCTACTCACCTAGCAGTGATGTGGCATGATGCTTTCTTTTTGTTTTTTCCTCTAGCGCACTCCCTCTCCCATCCGTCGCTGCTGCACACTCCTGCCCATGGCTATTGCCTGCCCACCCGCTCGCCCTCAACTTGCCCACCCACACATCTGCCTGTGCCCAACGTGCACCCTAATTATTTTCACGTGGCCACAACCCCAACACTTAGCCAAATTTCAATTAGCATGCCCTGTTCCACGTGGTTAGTTGCCCCATAATTGACCTAAAAAAGTTTCCATTCACGCCTACACCTTGTTCCACATGGTTAGTTGCCCTATAAACATTTCTGTTTCTTTTATGATCAAGCATGGTGGCAGAATATCAATTTCTAGAGGTAAGCAATCAATTCAACTTCATAATAATTCAAGAAAATCATTCAGGATCCCCTATGGCTTGATGAGGTGTAAGAATTCCATGAAAAGGATTATTTTTATGCAGATGATTTAGATTGGAATTTGTCTAAATCAAATGAAATTATAGCTTCTATTGTGTATATATTACAGTAGGATGTGAATAGGATTCTAAATAGTGAGAAGAGAAGGGGTGATGGAGTGGATTTTTTCTCAATTTTCCAATAAAAATCATGATCTTGGAGATTTAAAATGACCCAAAAACACAAGCTTTTTATCATTAATCAGATATATTTTTAACAAAATATAATTACTAACTTCTTGACACAGGTATTGGTGTGAATATGGAAAACAAGATGCTTATAAAAAATCCTCTACAATTGCTAAATCTACACCAAAGTCAGGACTTGGAAGTAGATTGGAAGTAGTAGTAGGTCAAAGTTCTACCCTTGCAATTTTTTTGTCAAACAGTTTTACAAATGGCTTGATTATTTGCAGATCACATATTATCATAAAGAGCATTGTGATAAGAATGGGATTCCCTGTCATGGTTAATTTGATTTGAATGGAGGAAAGTCATTATTTCCTCAGCAGATATTTGACATTGGGTGGTTCATATGATCCAGCAGAATTTCACATCAAATTAGATTTATAATGAGGATATGCAAATTGTGGGAAGGAACAAGTCAACCAGTGAACCTCCTTGTCGAGATGATTTTCTAACTATGCAGGATATTAATAATTTGCATAGGAAGCATTTGCTTTCAACTTATTGACTACATGAGAATGATGCACAACACGTATTTAAAAAAACACAAATCCCAAGAAAGTATTTTTCTATTAGAAAGGTGATTGAGGTAAAGATTATTTTACCATAGGGATTCAAACACCTTGGCAACTGCAAAAAATGGTGGACTTTGCAAATAATAATTTGTTGAGTCTTGATGCAACTTTTAAAACTAATTATTACAAGATAAAATTTTGGAATTTCAACAGCACGTTGATAGTTATAATATATCCTCCAAGCAAGCAAAACCTTTGGTGGAAAGAATTACAAGTAAAAGAAAAGCTTCTAGTAGCCTAGAAGCAATTCCTTTTACTAGGCAAAGGAACAACAAGAAAGAAAAGCTCTTTAAACAAAAAACTTAATCTTAGCAAAGAATAAATTTATAAAAAAACTCTTTATGTACTTGCATTGCATATGTTTAGATTAGTGAGAAGATTTCATAGCAAAAGTGGATCACCACTCCTATTGTTGATCATGGTCATCCATGACACTCATTGGCACGTAAAAAGGCATCCATGCATGCGCTGATTGAAATTGGGGTTGTGGCCACTTGGAAATAATTAGGGCGCATGCTAGGCGTGGGCAGGGAGTGCAGGTCGGGTGATAGCTACAGGCGGGAGTGCGCAGCTGCAACAGATGGGAGAGGCATGATGCCACATCACTGCCAGGTAAGCAGAGAGAGAGAGAGAGAGAGTGAATCAGGATGGTGTTTAATGGAAGGCACGAAGAGTGCTTTTATTCTAGTAGTTATGGTATCATGGAGATTTTAAGCTTTTTAAGTTTAGAAAGTGCATTGTGTTCAAAATAGGAGTTTAATTAACTTCCATTTCAAAATCAAATTAAATCCTCAGAGTGTCCAAGAGCCACTGGCGATTAAGTCCCCCAGCTTGCAAAGCCGTCATATAATCCTTATAAACCATAGGCTTAAACACTGGAGAGCCCTCCACCAATTTGCTCGCTGGGTGCACCAAACTCTGCCAATTTGGCCCTATTGCCACTGGAATGGACATTCGATCTTCACTGCTATTAACCACAGCCCTGTGCTGGGCACTCTTATACTTGTCATTGCTCAAAATCTGCAAGAGAATAAAAAGAAAACATTAACTTTGACCAGTCAGTCAATGCTAGTGAACGAGAAAGAGTGAACGCTGACCTGGATCTGGTCGCCCAGATTGACCACGAACGAATAAGGTATGGGCTTCACGGAGTACCACTCGTTACCGTGCATCACCTGGAGACCCTCGACGTGATCTTGGAGCAGCAGCGTGATCGATCCGGGGTCCGAGTGTGGGCCGATTCCCAGCACCAGATCGGGCTCGGGGCAAGCAGGATAGAAGTTGAGAGCCATGACTTGCGAGCAGCCATTGAATGCCTTGTCGATGTAATCCTTTGGAAGATCCAAGCTCTCGGAGATGAGCTCCAGGAGGAACTTTGCAAGGTTGCGAACGCGAGTGGAGTAATCGGCAGTAACTTTCCTATAAGATGATCATATACCAGCGATGTTAAGAAAGGACGGCGAGAAGGTATTTATACCTGTAAGATGCTGGCTTTTCAGGCCAGAGTTCTTGCATCTCGGCCAGTGGGAGGCAGCTATGGCGGAGGTAATCTCTCCAGCTAAAGACCTTGTCTTGTGTTACATTGAAGCTGGTTCCATACCTCATTCGGGATTCGGTGTCTGTGGAGAAGTAGCGCATTTTCTCCTCGTTTGGGAGAGCGTGGAATTCGCGAGCCACCGATTGCATTTCATCCACCAAAGAATGGGGAACACCGTGATTGATCACCTGTATGGCGAAGATCACACAATTCTCGATCAATTCTAGACCCAATGATTGGAACAAAGAGATTTTGGGACATCCAACACCCAGCAAGAGCAATAGCACACCTGGAAGAAGCCCCATTGCACGCAAGCTTCACGGATTTGCGGGACAAGCGCTGCTCGAGCCTCGCTCGAATTCAAGGCGGCGCCAAGATCCAAGACTGGGAAGCTTTCCTCGCGATGAACGGCATTTGGGCGCTCCTCTTTGGATTGGATGTAAATGCCGGGCAGCTTGTCCAGGCCCGAATCCACCAGATTCTTCACACCCAAGTGGAGTGGAAGAACTTCGGTGGCCATTGTTGAGCTCTTCGCAAAGATAAGCTTCCTCTGGTTTTATACTAAAACTTTCTTGGCGAATACGAAAAAATATCTTGGATTTTCTAGATTCTAAAAGAGGTTCGGTCCCGTGTGGCTGCTAAGAAGGAACTACGAAACTAAAAGTTGGCATAGCAAAATGAACCACCGCTCAGCGGTCCAGATGGCATCACGAATGGACGGACGTGATTGCTCTATTGGTCTCGAGGATATTCCAGGGCCATGCCACGGGCAAAGGCAATGTCGTCTTCCAGGGCGGAGGCGCCACCGTCGGCGCTCCAGCCCGCGCGGATTCTCTTCTCCGGAATCAAGGTACCCGATCTCTCGCGCCAGTTCCAGCAGCACAATGCCATCCCGTCGCTGCTCGATCGGATCAATTCGCCGCTGGCAGCTGCCAGATCCTTGCTCCAGCGCGTTCTTCCTCCTAGGGCAGCCACATCCGGCAGGGAGCCGCTGCTCCAGTCGCTCCAGGCGCGGATTTTAGGGTCGCTTCGGCAGCGCCATGCCGCGCTCTTCTGCTCGGCATCGCTGGGCGCTGGCGATGATCAGCGCAAGGAGAATTCCATGGCGGTGGCCGTCAGGAAGGGTTCTAGGGGGAAGGAGGAGGAGGAAAGAGTCCTTATCAGCGAGGTTCTTGTCCAAGATAAAGATGGGCAGGAGCTGGAAAACTCGGAGATTTTGGCCACTGCTCGACAGGCTCTAAAGTCGTGTAAATCGAATTACGCGCTCACGACGAAAGAGGTCCAAGAGGACGTCCATCGGATCATCGAGACTGGATTTTTCGCGTCTTGCATGCCTGTTGCCGAAGATACACGAGATGGAGTCAGGCTGATTTTCAAGGTGCTGGCTGCTGATCCTTCTATTTTACTTCCCTTTTGCTGCATTCTCACAATCTTTTCCACAGGTCGAGGCTAACCAAGAACTTCGTGGCCTTGTTTGCAATGGCGCAAACGTTCTTCCCACGAAGGTTATCGAGGATGCCTTTCGAAACGAGTATGGTATGCCATTTGTTTCTCTTTTCATCTTTTTTCCGAGTGGGGAAGTAGCATTAAGAATGTATTGCATTGCTCTTTAAGTTTTGCAGGAAAAGTTGTGAACATTCAAAGGCTTAACACGGTTCTCGACACTTTGAATGGATGGTACCGAGATAGAGGCTACTTTGCACAGGTAGATTCTTGCGCATTCCTTTTTTTTGAGATGGTTCTAGTGACAGTACACAGGTGACAGACCTGGAGATAATGCCAGACGGTATTCTCAAAGTACAATTTGCTGAGGCAGTAGTTAACAACATCAATATACGATTTTTGGACAGGAAAACGTAAGCTTTTCTAGTCTGAAAGAAGTAAGGGTGTGTGAAAAGTTGAACTTGTAGGGGGGAGCCGACTGTCGGGAAAACAAGGCCCGAAACATTGCTTCGTCAGCTTACGACGAAAAAAGGACAGGTGAATTCCAAAATCTTTTTTGTTTCTAGCATTAGACCCTGTATGATAAATTTACAGGTATACAGCTTGCAACAAGGTAGACGAGATGCCGAAACGGTCTTTACAATGGGAATTATGGAAGATGTCAATATCGTGCCACAGGCTGCTGGAGGTATCATTTCTATTGTTGTATATGTTATTGAAGAGGTATTGTTTTCAGATACTGGGATGGTAGACTTGACAATGAATGTAGTGGAACGTGTACCTGGAGGATTTTCCGCAGGAGGGGGGTTGTCAGGAAACGGGTATGTCATCACAACTTGTAAGAACCGAATTGATTTTCTAAATGTTACCATCTGCGCAGCATGACGAACGGAGCATTGTCGGGTTTGGTTGGGAGGTAAGACGGCTCGACTTCTATGGAATTTGTTTGTGTTAAAATGTTGGTGGCTGCAGTTTTGCTTATTCCCATAGAAATGTGTTTGGACGTAATCAGAAGCTGAACGTATCATTGGAGAGGGGTCAAGTGGACTCGATGTTTCGTATTAACTACACCGATCCTTGGATTGAGGGGGATGACAAACGCACGTCCAGAGCAATCAACATCCAGGTAAAGCACGGAAAACTTCAAGGGACTTATCAGCTCACATATAGATATTTGCAGAATTCTCGGAGTCCAGCCTCTATGACTCATGGCGTTCGAAGAGATGTTAGTTCATCTGGACCTTCGCATGGCGGCGTGACTGTCAGCCGGCTCATGGCATCAGTTGATTACAGCAGACCGCTACGACCAAAATGGAGCGGAACCGCTGGTTTGAGCTTTCAGGTGTACGCGTGCCATTTATCTTCAAAGCTGCTAACTTGAATCTACACAGCGAGCAGGAGCACGGGATGAGCATGGTCAGGCCAAGGCTATTGATGTGTATGGGGGACCACTTACATTCAGGTAGTCGGTGTCTTCACTTGGTTCTTCTTTTATAGAGAGTTTTATATCTGTAGTGGCAAAGCGCACGACGACATGCTCATTGCGAAGCTTGAGCTGGTATACACGGATTCTGGTGATTATGGCTCTTCTCAGGTACAGCATCGTTGTCTGCTCGTCTTTTTCGTGGACCGCCAACCGTTTCCTTCATGTTCCAGCTTGTTTTAAACACGGAGCAAGGACTGCCAATTGCCCCGGATTGGCTTTTCTTCAATCGTGTCAACATCAGGGCCCGCCAGGGCGTGAGGATCGGACAAGTTCGATGCATAACAAGGCAGGCCACATTTGTTTTTGTTTTTCCAAAGTCGGTTTCATAATCTCGTGGTTTTTCTAGCTTCTCTGCCGGTAACGTGGCTGGAGATCTCGCCCCTCACGAAGCGTTTCCGATAGGAGGAACAAACAGCGTCCGTGGTTACGACGAGGGAGCAGTCGGATCCGGGCGCTCTTACGCCGTGGCCAGCGGAGAAATCTCCATTCCTTTGGTAAGAAGAAGCTTTTGCTCAGACTCAGTTTTTGCTCAAGCGATCTCAAATCTTTGTTTTGCTCTTTTCTCTTTAGTGGGGTCCTTTGGAAGGTGCTGTGTTTGCAGACTATGGAACAGATCTAGGATCCGGACACACAGTTCCCGGTAAGTCGATGTGATCTTTCTTTTGAAAGCTTTTATCGATCGAGCTCTTATAAACAGGTGATCCTGCGAGTGTTAGAGGAAAGCCAGGCTCTGGATATGGCTATGGAGCGGGCATTCGTGTCGATTCTCCTCTCGGGCCATTGCGACTAGAGTATGCTCTCAACGATCATAGAGCAAAGCGCTTCCATTTTGGTATCGGCTATAGAAATTAAGCTCTCTTATAGACATAGACATGTTCCATTTAAATCCTCCTTTCTTGGAAGCTTCTAAAACGTATATTCCTGGGATATTAGAATATTTAAATTATTGCGAATGTGTGACCTCTTTCACACGGCTTAGGGTTTATCAGAGAGAGGTGCGCAGCTATGGCGGGGAAGCTACTCCATTCCGTGAATCTCATCGATGCGCGCAGTGGCGAATCGATCAAGGCCGCCGATGCGCTGCGCAACAAGGTAACGCTGCTCGCGATCGCGCCGCACTGGCTGCCGATGCCGCTGCGGCAGACCATGGCGTCGCTGGTCGAGGTCGTGGACGAGCTCCAGCAGCAGGGCAAGGAGATCGCGCTCGTCTACGTCGCCGTGGATCGCGACGAGGACATGATCGCCAACCTCAAGGCACGCGGCAACGACAGGGTTCTCGACGATCGCCCGTCGCAGGAGTGTTTTGACGATCTCCGGAAGCAGATGTCGCAGGGGTGGATGGCTGTTCCTCTGGAGGATTCCGCCACGCGCGAGTCGCTACTCAAGGATTTGCGGTCTGGAGCTGGGATTTTCCATCTGGCCGTGATTGGAGAGGATGGAGAGGTCTTAACGCAAGATGGCCTGGACGTGATCTACAAGTGGGGGGCCGAGGGGTTTCCTTTCAGCGACGAACGAATTCAAGCCCTGGAGAAGGAGGCCGAGGAGAGGAAAGCCAACCAGAGTCTAAAGTCGCTGCTCGTCTCTCCGGATCGAGACTTCGTCATTGCAAACGATGGATCGAAGGTTTGTTCTCTAGATTGTTTTCGTTGTTCTTCCATCCTTTCTCTCATGTGTTTCTTGTGTTTCTCGGTTTTAAGGTGAAAGTAGAGAGCTTGGAAGGGAAGATCGTGGCGCTATACTTCTCCGGGCACTGGTGTGGTCCTTGCCGGAGCTTCACTCCCGTGCTGGCCAGGCTTTACAAACAGCTCAAAGACAAAGGTGAGGAGTTTGAGGTGGTGTTCGTCTCAGCGGACAACGACGAAGACGCTTTCGAGGAGTACCACAAGGAGATGCCATGGCTTGCGATTCCCTTCTCGGATTCCAAGACGAGGAAGCAGCTGGATCGCATTTTCGACATAGGTGGGATCCCGTCGCTGGTGGTCCTGGGCAAGGATGGCAAGACTGTCCACACTGATGCCGTGCAGCTCGTTTCCAAGCATGGTGTCGACGCTTATCCCTTCACTCCAGAGAAGCTGGACGAGATCAAGGCTGAGCAGGAGAAGAGGCGTGCTCAGCAAACTCTGGACTCGCTCCTGGTATCAAACAGCCGCGACTTTGTTGTCACTCACGATGGCAAAGAGGTAACTTGGAAAGTTTTTCTTCCTGACGCTGAAAAGTCTTTGTTTTCCAGGTGAAAATCAGCGAGCTCAAAGGAAAGACTGTCGGACTCTACTTCTCGGCTCACTGGTGCCCGCCTTGCCGCGGATTCACGCCGGAGCTCGTCCAAGTCTACAACGAGCTCAAGCAAAAGAACGCCGAGTTTGAGATCATCTTCGTCTCCAGCGACCGTGACGAGGGGGCCTTCAAGTCCTACTTCGCATCGATGCCGTGGCTGGCCCTCCCCTTCTCGGACCGCGAATCCAAGTCGGAGCTCTCCAGCTACTTCGAGGTGGAAGGCATTCCAACGCTGGTGATCCTGGGACCCGATGGGAAAACTCTCACCGCGGCTGGACGACGCCTGGTGGGGGCTTACAAAGCAGCGGCGTTTCCTTTCACGGGCTCGCACATCGAAGCTCTCAAATCCAAGGAGATGGAGGAAGCCAACGCCGTGGCGGCACAGCTCCCGAAAGAGATCACTCACTCGAGCCATCCGGAGCATCCGCTCGCGCTCGTCGTGAGCGCGTACAAGGGGCCGTATGGCTGTGATGTCTGCGATCAAGATGGTACTGGCTGGGTCTATCACTGCGCCGAGTGCTCGTTTGATATCCATCCCAAGTGTGCCAAGCCGGAGATTGAGAAGAAGAAAGCGGAAGAACAAGAGGGCGGCGGCGCCAAGAAGGAAGGCTGGGTTTGCGAAGGCGATGTTTGCAAGAAGAATTAAACTGAGCCGAATATTCTAAGGTATAGCAAGTTTGCTCTATAGAGACAAAAAAGGTGATAAAAGCCCTAAACAAGTATCTACGACTTGTTTGTTGTAGCCAAGCAATACATGGAATGTTTAGGAGAAACAATAGCAAGATGCAATAAAGACGGCCATTCGAGCAGGAAGTTCGCATAGTTCAGAAGCTGGATATGGCCGACAAGAAGAAGAGCCAGTATACATTTACACAAAGATATATATCCTTGGAGTCCTGAGGATTTGGCCTAGTTATCTGCAGGACTTTAAGAGTGGCTTGCGATAGAGGAGGCAGCTGGATCGCATTTTCAACAAAGGCGGGATCCCGTCGCTGGTGGTTCTGGGCACGGATGCCGTGCAGCGCTCTGGAAAAGAAAGACTTTTCAGCGGAAGGAGAAAACTTTCCAAGTTACCTCTTTGCCATCGTGAGTGACAACAAAGTCGCGGCTGTTTGATACCAGGAGCGAGTCGAGAGTTTGGTGAGCACGCCTCTTCTCCTGCTCAGCCTTGATCTCGTCCAGCTTCTCTGGAGTGAAGGGATCCGCATCGACGCTTGGAAACGGGAGCTCAGAGGAAGATCGGTTGCCGCAGATTCACGCCGGAGCTCGTTCAAGTCTTCAACGAGCTCAAGCAAAAGAATTTGACGAGGAGGCCTTCAAGTCCTACTTTGCATCGATGGTCTCTCCTTCTCGGATCGCGAATCCAAATCGGAGCTCTCCAGCTACTTCGACGTGGAAGGCATAACGCTGGTGATCCTGGCACCCGACGGCAAAACTCTCACCGCGGTTGGACGACGCTTGGTGGGATCTTACAAAGCGGCGGCGTTTCCTTTGACGGACTTGCACATCGAAACTAGGTAATCTACAAGTGAGGTTTCAAAGCAAATGACGTCATTCCCAAACAAAAGTTTGTAGGCCAAAGCGGGAGCCTCGCGGCGGCATAGGAATCTGCTGGCTCATTGATCCAGCTAGCGTCGGCACCATTCTCTTGGGTTGGGTGCTTTTGCAAGCTCCCCTTTGCGAACCCAATCGTGAAAAGAATGTCTTGTTTCTCCCCAGAGATCTGCCTCCTTCTAATGCCGGTCGAATCTAGATAACCCGTGGCGACAGAAATCTAATCGCACACCTAACATAAAAAATCCCACCGTATCTCTTCATGTTGCCTCTACTTTCTATGACTTAGCAGGTTTTCATTCCTTCTCAGTTTTTCCAATCAAGTTATGAAGTGTAACTTGATCTAGCAAAATCTGGAAGCAGCCAACGCAGAGGCAGTATAGCTCCGAAACAGAAGCCATCCGGTCGTACGAGGGGCCGTATGGCTGTGAATCAAGATGGCAATACTGTATGGTCCAATCAACTGCGCCGAATATTCTAATGGTATGCGCTTTTCTCTCTCTCCTTTATAAGGCATAATTAGGGTTTGTAGATTCGATGGGTTTGCTAGTGTATTTGCGAAGGATTTTCCGGAGGGATGGTGCTCAAAAGAAAGAGGTGGAGAATCTTCCGGATCAGAAGCAAAGGCAGCAACGCAAAATTAAAATAAGAGACAGAAGATTTCTAGTGACGAAGGAGGAGCTGATCGATTACTGGGCGAGTTATGATAAGGTACGTGGATTTGGATCCGTTCGCGAGTGGATTATAGCACCATAGGAGTTCCTGTGATCTTCTAACACCGTTGCTTTCAGGATCTACTCCAGGAGAAGATGTAACCGTGGATTTGTAAGCGAGTAACCGAGTTTATGGGGGTAGAGGAGGCGTCCACTGTCGACTTGATTGTGAACAGTATCTCCGTAGACCCTGAATCTATGCGGGATAAGCTAGCCATCTTGGATGATGCAAAGGAAAAGCTTGTGCTCAAGATATGGCGGATGCTTATCTTTGAGATCAAAGATGGGGATACCGATCATATGTTGACAGAGGTCCTTGAGAAAGATGGCGATTCTTCAAGCGATGCAGAACTCTGTAAAACTTTGCAGAGGCAGCGAATCCTAAAGCTAGTAGAGATGATAAAGAAGAAGAGAGCCCGGGACAACAAGGACGATAAACAGAGAACTTTTAGCGACAAAGATACTGGGAGGAAGAAGAGGAGGATTGAGTGATGATTTTGTCTTTGTAAATCCATTTGGGATTCTAATGTTTAGATTTGAGCAAGTTGGCCAGAAGAACACAAGCATAACCAGCCCCGTGATCTTCCCGCTTTGGATCGCGAATCACAGAGCTCGCGGCATCCTTTCCACTGCCGAGATCCTCTACATTTTCGTGGTGCTTGCAAGCTCCAAGCAAGCAGTTCCACTCCAAGGAATCGGGAAAAAAGGGCATGGTGGTGATGAGCTCCTTTGCTTGGCTCAAGTAGCCCATCCTCGCCAGCATGTCGACCATGTAGCAGTAGTGCTGCTTCGTGGGGGACATGCCAAAGTCAGCGGCCATCGACAGGAGGCAGGACCGCGCGGTGTGGAGCTGACCGGCATGATTGCACGCAATCAGGACCCCGACAATGCAGCACTCGTCTGGGGAGTCAACGCTCCTCATCAAGTCAAACAACTCGAACGCCGACCGCCATTGACCGTTGTTGGCGTAGGCGGCGAGAAGCGTGCCCCAGGAGACTGTGCCGGTCAACGGCATGGTCTCGAAAAAGGACTTTGCTCGCGACAGGTTTTTCCCCTGAGCAAACACATACAAGATTATTGTCCAGGACATGAGATCCCGGTGGGGCATTGAGTGGAAGAGAGACAGTGCTTGATGGAACAGCCTTTGCTGTGCTAGGGCCGACAGGATTGCGTTCCAGGACGCGAGATTGAGCTCCGGCATAAGGTTGACTAAATTCACTGCTTCTTCCAAATGCCCGTTTTGGGCATATGCGCACAGGAGCGCGTTCCAGCTAACAACATCCTTTTGCGGCATGCTATCGAACATCACCTTTGCTTGCTCTATTTTGCCATACATCGCGTAGATTCCCACCATTGCCGTCCACGATACCGCACTCCTGTGCGGCATAGAGTGGAACATTCGCTCGGCCTCGTCAAGATTCCCTGTTCTGGATAATGCCACCACCATTGCGGTAAGAGCGACGAAATCTCTCTCCTGGAGCTGCTCAAAAACTCGTCTCGCGCTTGCGATGTCGCCAATATCCGCCGAAGCAACCAGAACTGCAGTTCCAGCCAAGAGATTGAATTCTGGCATTTCGTCCCAGAGATCAATAGCACGCCTCCAATGCCCGTTCTGGGCATATGCAGTTACCATTGCAGTCCAGGCAACCAGATCCCTTAGAGGCATCATGTCGAAGATGGCTTTCGTTTCTTCGTTTCCACCGTGCGTGGCATACGCGCTGAGCATTGACGTCCAGGCAACCAGGTTCTTGCCGGGCATGGCGTCGAATATTCTCCTGGCATTGTGAATATACCCGTTGTGGGCATATGCCGAGAGCATCAGCACCCACGAGAAGCAGTCCCGGCGGTGCCCGATCGCGTCAAACACGTGGCGTGCGGATGCAACGCTGCCGCACCTTCCGTACATTTCAATCGCCTTGTTGTGCAAGAAGATGTCGGGTGGAGAAGGGGCGGAGAGGAGAGAGTGATGGATGCGATCTGCAGTGGAAAGATCTGTGCATGACTTGAGCAGTGTGATTGTGGTGGCTCTATCAAGCATAGAGATTCTTTGTTAAGGAAACATTCTTGTTGTGAGCGCCGAGGATGTCAAAAGTGGTGTGGGATTTGACGTTTCTGGACGTCGAGACAAGCCTCCGGGAAAAGACGCTCCACAAACTGCAGGGTGTGCAGATACCACGCCTCGTCCAGTGGGGTTTCTTGTGTGGAACGATGATGACCAGCGACGAAGGTTGTACACCTCTTGGTAGCTACTTCACGTTGACGGTGCGAGACGTGCAAGAGTCTCATCCTGTCGCCTAGTAAGATCCTCCTCGGAAGCGCCAGTCTTTCTGGGTTGATCATGAGCGCTCGGGAGGAGGCTGCCACCGGCAGTCGTACAGAAATGATCGGGAGGTTGACATGTAGTCCTTTGATGACAATGTAAATGAAAAGATTGCTTGTAAAAGAAAAACTATAATATATTAATTTTAATCTTTATTCAAAGTGGTGCAATTTTTGTTTGCAAATTTATCATATTAGAGTGATAAAAGATAATTGTTTATTGAATATTTGGTGGCTATCACATAGATATACTTGAGGTGCTAGCAAGCAATCATGGCAGTGCTGGTTTGGAAAGTGGAGGTGGCAAAGTGGAGCAAATAAGCATCCTTTCTAGTTGCACAGTTTCAATACATTCTATTTAGCCATTTGACTTGAAGAACACTCATTTTTTACTGGCAGGTTTTTCCTTAAGTCTTAATTTATTAATATACTTTAAAAAGATATTAATAGTATTTTAAATTATAAATCTACAAGAATAAAACGATAAGTATGGTAAAAAGTTCTATGTAACACAACTTGCGTGCTCATTGGCTGGAGCGAGGTAAGATGGAACCTGGCACGTGTTTAGGGTGTGCTTGTGTGTGAGAAGCATTCACTTCACCCATTTGTGTTCCCAGGTGTTGGCGCAACCACAACTGCCAAAGTGGCTCTGTTAATTGGAAAGATTTCCCTTCATAGTTTTAGGGTGGAGAAAGGTGAATCAGTGGAGTTTAGCCAGGGAATTGAAAATGACGGGCATGAAACCTGATTGGATGGAGGTGGAGTATGGGCCTTACGGCATCCAGAGCTGGAGCAAGCCTTCAACACGGCCAGAACCATCAGAGAGTTCAGCTCTAGTCCCTGTTCTTTTGTGAGAAAGAACAAGCTCAAGACGAGTTCTTCCTCGCGGTCCTCTAAGTATCCCATCATCAAGGCAGTCCACGAGACAACGCCGTGATATCTCATCCTGTCCAAAGCTTTGCAAGTGTCCACTTGCAATGTGTATCAACCAAGATGTTCCTCAAAGCCATAGCTTGGAAACCCATCCACTGCTCACGGCTCGAGCATGGAGATCCATTGTCTTCTCTAGAGCCAAAACTTTGACAAGCTTCCCATCGAGCTCCTCGCCTTCTTCTTAAGCCACCAAGCCCGGGCAAGTCCTGAAAGCAGCGGCTCAGCTCACATCATCCGCTACACAGGCGCCTCGTTCAGCTCTATCCTATCCACAAACTTGAGAGCTAAATCTTCCTGCCCGTTCTCTGGATATCCTAGCATCAGAGTGTTCCAGAAGAGAAGCATAGCACACACCATGGCATCAAAGATCTTGCAAGCTTCTGCCATGTCTCCACACCTGGAGTACATGTTGATAAAGCTATTTGCCCCCAAGGGACCCTACCTCTCCATGAAGCCTCTTCCCCTCTTGCAAGTCTCTTGAGATGCTGCATTCTTTCAATGCAGGGTACCCTGGTTTCATGCTAAACTGTGATTTTAAACACCAAGAAACAAAAACAAGAATTGAGAAGAAAAAGCAACAGATCAATTGACCTTTCGAAGAAGATCTGGATAGCAAGCGTGCCCCATGCACACGAAGTGATGTCATTTTCTAGCTGGATCCTATGACAGCTGGACTCTTCCTTGCCTGGTGATTGGTTCAGGCTCTTGATTGGCAAACCGGGCACCACAGCCTGGAAAAGGCATGCCAGTCCTCTGCTATGTTTATAGATAGAGATAAGGTGCAATTGCTTTGGAAGGACTGGAGCTCTTCAGCAAGTTCCAACCCAAGTGCTCCACCAAGAGTGATTAGCATTGGTGCATTTTGTAAATTCCAGCAGTGGAAATTTGGATTTGAGGCAACCAAAACCATATATGGTAAATGCATTACTATTTTGTGATCATAGCTAACTTCTTGGAGCATGATGCAAGAGCTGAGCAATTGCCACAGCCACTACAACTTAGTTTTTCTAGAATGTCCAGTACCTTAATAAACACTAAGCTATGGTCATAAGTGAGGAGCCTGTGGCCGTGGATCGTGATATCGACGCTGCTGCCTGGAAGTTCGAGCAAGAAAACAGTAATATAATAAGGTGATAACATTATAGTATTGAAGCAAGCATTATAGTTTAGATATTCTACCATATTAGGAAATTTAATAAATTATAAACATGATTACAAATATATAAGACTAATTTAAATGAATACCAACCATGCTTAGTATATTTTAGTTTATTCTAGAAATAAGATTAATCTTGTATTAAAATTATGAACATGTTTATAATTATTGAAAACTGGATTAAAAAATAAAAATAAACAAGAATAAAACTACTATTAAGAAAACTAAATATTGTTGCATGGAGAATGGACTTAACACTATTTTGTACAATTTGAACCCGTCATGCTCTTTTAAGCACAGGTAATGTTTGTCTAAAATCACCGCCAGATTATTTTCATGAGTAGCAAAAAATATAATTAGAAGAAAGATATTAAGAAAGAAACTTTTTAATAATTGTCCGTGAGCCCTGTAGCGGTGGTAACAATCCACCACGCTTCTCTGCAAGTTCACGCCCTCGTTCTAAGCTCCTGAGTTTGGACTTCCCGGGAGGTCACCCAGCCCAGTACTATTTAAACCCAAGGACGCTTAACCCCAAATATCCCAAGACCCTTAACCAATTGGAAAAGGGGGTGCACTCTTGTTCATGGGCCCTTTCCCTCTATATTTGAATCCCATGGATCGTCTCTCAAGTCGTTCCCTTTGGTTGCTTACAATCCACCATGTTTCCCTGCAAGTTCACGCCCTCGTGAACGGAAGCTGAGAGCCGCAGCTCTCCCGAGAGCCCCGCTCTCTTGACACCCTACCCCTTGGGTCGAGCCCAGCAGGAACAAACTGGACCAGCCAGATGTCAATCAACATGTGGTGTGATTCCCTTAGCCAACCAACAGAGTCAAACCCGAGACCGCTCTGATACCAAATTGGAAAAGGGGGTGCACTCTTGTTCATGGGCCCTTTCCCTCTATATTTGAACCCCATGGATCGTCTCTCAAGTCGTTCCTTTTGGTTGCTTACACTCGTGAACGGAAGCTGAGAGCCGCAGCTCTCCCGAGAGCTCCGCTCTCTTGACACCCTACCCCTCGGGTCGAGCCCAGCGGGAGCAAACTGGACCAGCCAGATGTCAATCAACATGTGGTGTGATTCCCTTAGCCAACCAACAGAGTCAGACCCGAGACCGCTCCGATACCAACAGAGTCAGACCCGAGACCGCTCCGATACCAACAGAGTCAGACCCGAGACCGCTCCGATACCAAATGTAAGCTCCTGAGTTTGGACTTCCCGGGAGGTCACCCAGCCCAGTACTATTCAAACCCAAGGACGCTTAACCCCAAATATCCCAAGACCCTTAACCGATTGGAAAAGGGGGTGCACTCTTGTTCATGGGCCCTTTCCCTCTATATTTGAACCCCTATGGATCGTCTCTCGAGTCGTTCCCTTTGGTTGCTTACAGCAGTGTTGGTTGGATAAACGAGGTAAGTTGGCAAATTAGAAAGGAAAAATTTGTGGCTTACACTTTCTAGTTTCCTAAATTTGATATAAATACATAATAAAAAAACTTATAAGTTTTAGTAAATGAATAAATTATAGCAATATTTTAAATTTAACATAAATTATAATTAATTTATCATAAAAAGTATAAATTTTTATATATATTTTGTATTGTTTTGATTTATGTATCATTTCATGATAATCATTCATAAAGTTTTATTTGGGCTATTAAATTACTATATAAAATTATATTGATTTTATATTTTATATTAATATTCAACTTTTCATGGCTTTTGAGAATATAAAAATTTTATGTTGCCAACTAAAATTCTTCGCTGATTGTTCAGTAACAATTTATATATGTATAGTGCTAGTTATTATTTATATTGAAAATAGAATAATAATATAACATATATTTTAACCAATGCAATTTAAAAACTTCATATTTAAAAAATATAATAGTAATATTTACCATTAAGCTTTTTAAATTTAGCTTTATATATGAATAACTGGCTGGGGGTTTTATAGTTAGGGTTAGGGCTTTATGGTGGAGCGAGGATGGCAACAGCAGCAGCGGGCGAGTACCACAAGAAGCGCAAGCGCGGCAAGAACTGGAGCAACCAGGAGGCGATCCTCCTAATCGAGGCCAAGGACGCCACCAGCCGCGAAGGTATGGGCGCCTCGGCCAAGTGGCAAGCCGTGGCGGATCACCTCGAGAGCCAGGGCGTGCTGCGCGACGTGGAGCAGTGCCGCAGCAAATGGGAGAACATGCTGGGCGACTACCGCTCCATCCTGGAGCACGAGAGGCGCGGCTCCTCCTCCTACTTCGCGCTCACCAAGGAGCAAAAGAAGGACCTCCGGCTGCCCGCCAAGTTCTCGCAGGATATGTTCCAGCTGCTCCAGCGCACCGTGACGCGCGGCGAGGCGGACATGGACGCTCTCCCCGTCGTCAATGCCGCGGCTCCTTTCGTCCCCGGGGATAGCTTCTCCAGCGAGGAGGTGCCGGGGCCGGGAGAGACGCCATCGCTCCTCCAGTTCCGCGAGGTTGGATCATCCGGGACTGGTGCTACTGCTACTGCTACCGCCGATCCCAATCCTCCAGCTCCTCATGCTGCTACTCCGAATGCTGCTGCTGCTACTGCGACCACCAAGAGGAAGCTTAGATCGATCGCTGCGGAGCCGGGGAGTGGATCGTTTGAGCTGGTTGCCAAGGCCATCTCCGAGTCCCAGGAGAAGATCCTGGCGTTTTTGCAAGAGCGGGAGGAGAGGAGGATAGAGATCGAGGAGAGGAAGCTGTCGAGGATGGACGAGCTGTTTGAGCTGCTCAGCAACATGGCTCACTCCTGGAAGACGCTGAGCGAACGGATGCTTGTCAACAGCTCGAGATGAGCGTCGAGTCTTCTTCTATTTTTTGTTCCCAGTGCCGACACCACTGCGGTAAGTTATGTAGGTCTCTAACATACAGAATTTTGTCTCCTTTGTCCTCTCACAAACAGTGTTGTGTCACTCCCCCACCGCAAAGTTTTACGTAAATTTCACACCAAAAACTTACTGTGGAAGTTTTTATGAGAAGAAAATCTGTCGATCTGATTTATTTACAAAAGCTTTTAAGAACTTTCAACCAAACTCACTTCAAAGACTTTCCCAAGAACTTCAAACAAAGAAGTTTTGTGAGAAACAAAGGTGTGATCTGTGATTGATTTCTGGTTTCACTCCTCATAGAAAAGTCTGACGTACAGATAGAATGAGTAGAACTCTTTCTATCTCAACTTCTCCCAAAACTTGAGAAGCTCACGCTTTCGAGAAAAAGAGAAGGAAAATCCGTGGATCTGTGATTGATTGATTGATTTTTCGTGTTGCTGCCTAAGCTAGCTAGCATTTTCTTCCCTACGCTGCATCTCCTCTTCATCCTCGTCCTCATCTTCGTCCTCGTCCTCCTCATCCTCATCCAAACTCTCGCGACGAGCAGCTTGATCCTCCTGACTAATGTTCAGATTAAGCCCTGCATGCAGCTGCGGCTGCTGAACCTGAGCCTGAGCCTGCACCTGCTGCTGCACCTGCACCTGCATCTGCACCTGCACCTGCTGCTGAATCTGCAGCTGCTGCTGCTGGTTGCTCAAGTTGAGCGCCTTGAGCGCCGCGCGCTGCTTGTCCGACTTCTCCCTCCTCTTCGGATCCGCGTAGTAGCGCACGAGCGAGTCCCACTGCTCCTGCGACACATCGCTGGGCCGGCTCGACCCCTGCTCGATCATCCGCATCACCTTGTGCCGCCGGAAGTTGAGCGCCTTGGCGACCTGCTTCTTGAGAAACGCGTCGTCCAGGCTGCCGCCAACGTACGTGAACTTGGAGTCCATGTAGTCGCGTATCCGGACCATGCCTTCCTCCGGCTGGAGCGCTATGTGCGGGATGGACACGTCCAAGAAGAGCAGCGCCGAGTGCCGCAAGATCGAGTTCCACCATGTCCCGGTTGCTCCAGTCGGCTTCCCGTCGATCAGAGTTACGTTAGTCTTCTCTCCCTCCGCCACCGCCGCCGCTGGCTGCTTGCTTTCTTTCTTCGATGATGGAGGAGTGGCGAGTGCCTCACACCGGTTCTCAAAACTTTGAGGTGGAATCGCGGCAGTGAATGCTTCCGGCTGCTGCTGCTGCTGCTGCTTCTTCTGCGAAGACCACACGATCCGAAACTCCTTGTCACTCTCTTCCCCTTCTTGGAGAGACCCCTCGTCGTCGTTGCCGCCGTCGTCGTTTGTGTCGTCCTCGGTGCTGCTCGAGGATTTGCAGTCTCGATAAGTTTGCTGCTGCTGCTGCTGCTGCTGTTCTTGCCCATGTCCCTGCTGCTGCTGGAAAAATTGCTGCTGGTACTGTCTAGAGCTACTGGAGAGTGTTAGTTCCTGCCTAGCGGACGAAGAATCCCACACCGGAGCGGGACTTTGCTGCTGGTGGTGTTGCTGGACTTGTCCGTAAGAAGAGCTTTGCGGTTTCTGGTGATAAAAACTCGGCTGCTCGCTCGCTGGAGCCTGGAATCTACTGTAAGGAGGCACCGCATCGCTGCTGTAAAACTCGCCACCGCCGCCACCTCGACCATTGTTATTGCTCGCGGCCCTGTTGTTAAAGTCCGAGGGTGACGAGGAGGAAACTCTGCGAGCTTGACGGGGGAGAGATGCCGTGGAAGAACACGAACCCGAGTCCATGGCCTGCGAGTCGGACGACGACGATGTCTCAGTGTCCGGTGGCCTCGTCAACCTGTTTACTATCGAGCGAGCCTTGTTCGCTCCTATTCTTTTCACTACCTCCACAAACAGCGCCTTCAAATCCCGCTCGTAGCTATCCGGGTTGCTCCTCTTGAGTCCCTTGATTATGTCACGTATCCTGTTCTTCCTAGTGCTCGCGCCGTGGTGGCTTCTATTCGAGGCTCGACCGTTCAGAGCTGGTGTTGCCGCTGGAACTGGCTGTGGAGGTGGTGGTGCCTTCCGGATCATCGTACCTCTAGCCTTTTTCTTCCAAGCTTTTCTCGGCGGTGGCTGCTGCTGCTGCTGCTTGCTGTTCCATGCCCTGCTATCCGAGATATCCTCACTCTCGGTACTAGCATCGTCTGTGATGGTCTTGGACTCGCTACTTCTATCCTGTAAATCAGTTCCCGGTTGCGTTGGCATCAATGCCAGCTGATGGTGAGGCCGCCACTCGATCATGTGTGTCTCTGGAACAAGCTCCTGTGAATACCTGAAAAAGCAGAAAAGAAAGAAAAAAAGATTCCAACTTTGTTAGAATTCACGAGAAAAAGCGAGGAGAAGTATACGTACGCTGGCATCCGAAACTTGTCCGTGAGCCCTGTAGCGGTGGCAGCTGGGTGGTGGTGGTGGTGGTGGTGTGGCGGCGGCGGTGGTGGTGGAGGAGCCAAGTGGGGGTGGTGAGGAGTTAGCATCAGTGAGCTTTCGTACATTCTCGTATTTAAGTTGATGGCGTCGGATGGAAGCCTGAGAGGCTGCCGCATTGGAAAACCTGACATGTAACCTGATAACCAATGAGACGAGAAAACCAACAAGACAGGCAAACAAGAGAGAAAGGATAAAAAACCCTTGGAGAAACAAGAAAAAAGGACAGGGAGCTCACCACGAAAACGACAGCCAGCTAAACAACTCACGCTTTGGAAACAGTCAAGCAAAATGAGGAAAGAAAACGAAGAAAATCTAACCCGGGACAAGCAGGACACGGACAAACACACAAAAAAGGAAACGAGAGATTTTTTGTTACCTTGTTGAGGTTCGGGCTGCGAGAATTCCGGAAGAAACAAGGTCCCGTTTGGAGGTGAAGTTGCGGCGGCGATCTTGGAGGTGGCGTTGGCTTCGTGGTGATGGTGGTGGTGGTGGTGATGGTGATCGAGCTTGGATCTCTTGCCTTTGGAGTCGACGTCGGTGTCTACCTCGGATTCGCCATCGTTTTGCTGCATCTGCTTTTGCTTGCGCTTGGCTCGAGCCTTTCGGTTGTGGAACCAGTTGTGGACGTTGGCCTCCGTAACATCACCTTGGCGAGCGAGATCCACGGCGATCTCTTTGATCCGCTGCTTGTTGATACTGTCGCCCTCCTCCTCGAACAGCCGGACGAGCATCCGGAGCTGCTCCTCGTTCGGTTTCCATCGAACTTTGACGACGGCGGGAGGCAATTCTTGCAAAGCTTGCTGCTGCTGCTGCTGCTGCTGCTGCTGGTAATGGCTTTCCTCCATCATCTTGGGATCTGGTCATTGGAAAACCGAGAAGAAAAAATCCATCTTTTTGAGTGTGCTTTAAACAACTTGCCTTGCTCAACTCGTTCGCATCCTCAGGCTCCGCATTCTCGGCAGAAAAACTAGGAAGAGAAAACAAACAAGGAAAAATTCAGTCCGGGATGGCAGAGATCCCCAAAACTCTCCGAAGAACACGAGCAAGAGAAAAAAAATTCTCTTTCTTTTCTCCACGGCCCAAGAAAGAGAGAATGATACATGATAATGGCCCAGTCTCCTATAGAGGAAGAGAAAAGAAAAGCTGGCCTATATAATAGGATCGAGGGCGTTATCGACGGCACCGGCCCACACAAGTGAAAATCCATCACCACGCACAAATGCAGGTTAGAAATCTCATCACACTCCCAGCAGCCGGGCAAAAATTCGCGAGCAAATCCACGAATCGCCCACGAAAAGAAAAAGAAGCGAAGAAAACAAACCAAGAACACACCACCCCCACCAAAAAAAATTCATTGTTTTGATTCGAGGGAGAGAAGAGAGGAAGAGAAAAAAAAAACCCCCAAGCAAAGAGGAGAGAAAAAAAAGGAGACGGTGTGGATGCGTAGCTAACCTGGAAGATTGGCGATCGATCTATCGAATCAGGCGGCGCCGCCGCCGCTGGTGGCGAGCCCCAATCTTTGCCCCGATCCGCCACGACCCAAGTCACCGAAATTCGATCTCATCTATCCCACAGCCTCGCGATTGCGGCGCGGTGGAGAGGAGCTGGCGCTGTGCGTCGGCCATGGCAGCTCTCTGTCGCGCGCGCCACTCTAAGCCGCCATATCCAAGTACTCTACCCGTGCGGGAATTTGGGCACGGCGATTCCAGGCCAGAATCTCCGCCCATCACGCATTCCGGACCGACGGATGGACGGCATCCACGAGCCGCTTAATGCTAATCATGGTTAGCGGCCTGGGCGCTAATTCCAACGTCGGTAAATGGGGCTTTTAACCCCGGGGCAGGTTTAACCGACACCAGCGGTCACTGTCAGGCGTACGAAAGCGTACACCCGCCGGTCAGCGCGCCGTACCACATTGCATTCATTGTCGCTTATAATCGAGCGCGATTAGCTGCTAATAATCAATCGCGCAGGGACTGCGCACGCATTGGCGATTATTTAATCTTTAATTAAACTCTGCGCTTCCATGCTTAACGTGAAAGACATCCAAGCAAGCGATCTATCTGGGTGGTTGTACAGTATGCGTATGCGATTGGCCAAGTATATTATACATTATATTGTACGAAAGATGGCGTCGCTTTTCCGGTATTTGCCGCTTGGGCGGCCAGCACTCTTTTCCCGAGTTTGGAATGTGGAATGGGCCCGACATTCATGCAAGAAGCGTTCCTCTTTAAGTACGGACGAGTGTGGGCCATGGCCGAATCTTGTGTGAAGCCGTACAAGGGCACGAACGTAAATTAGGGCAGAACAGGTCGGCTCTTGATTGACCATGACCATGGCGGCGCCGCTGGTGGAATAAGCGGCGCCGCTGGTTCTCTGCAGCTCGCGTCTAGGGCTTTTATGGCGCGGCCATCGCCGTCGTCCTGGCGGTTCTTGCGCCTTGCGTACTACATCCGTCGCCCCTGGATCGTGGCGCTGATGCTCGTCGTGCTGCTGTGCACGACATTTATCATCTGGGATCGCCGGTCGCTGCGGAGTCCGGTATGTAATCTGGCACTAGATCGCTAGATCGATCGATGTGATCGCGAAATTCAGCTGCATTCTGGGGTCTTATGAGTGAAATGGGGTGTTCCAGGACGATACCTCCACTTCGGAAGAGGATTTCTTCGAGGTACTTCAGAGTTTTTCTTCAGAGGCACGAATTTTACTTAATCACACTACAGTTGCAGAGAGCTCGTCCTAAGAACACGAAAGAAGCTTTCGAGAGAAAGCCGCCGAGTGTAGTCAAAGATGAGATACTTGACGAGACTACCGCGGAGAGAAGGGAGAAAGTTAAGCAGGCTATGCTTCACGCGTGGAATTCTTATGAAAAATATGCCTGGGGCTACGACGAGCTACTGGTAAAAGAGTCGTGTTTCCTTTTCCGGTATTTTTTTTTTCTAGCTAAAGCTTTTGATTGTATCCTCAAGTAGCCGCTATCAAAGCGCGGAGCAAATGACTTTGGTGGTCTTGGTGCTACTATTGTGGATTCGCTTGATACGCTTTACATCATGGGATTCATGGATCAGTTCAATAAAGCTCGAGAGTAAGCTAAACAAAATTTTGTAGTGGAGCTTTTAATCACCTTTCTTGCAGCTGGGTAGCCAAGCTTGACTTCAACAGAAACTACGAGGCCAGCATGTTCGAGACGACTATCCGGTAAAACTTCCACTTTTCGTTGACGATTGTATTGACCGTTGCCTGGTTTGTGTTTTATAGAGTTGTGGGTGGTCTTGTAAGCGCCTACGACCTATCAAATGATACTGTATTCTTAAACAAGGCGAGGGAAATCGCCGATAGATTACTTCCGGCATGGAATACCCCTACCGGTATACCTTACACAACTGTTAACTTGGCTTCTGGCGATTCAAGAAGTCCTGGCTGGACTTTGGTGAGAAGTTGATATCATTAAGAGTTCTTTTTGTCATCGACTTTCCACTTTTCTTGTTTGGTGGCTCCAGGGAGCAAGCGTATTGGCGGACCTTGCGACGGAACAAGTTGAGTTTATTGCACTTAGTCAAAGAACTGGAGATCCCAAATATCAAGAAAAGGTAAAGTTGAAGATTTCGTTTCAAAGTGTGAGTTCTCTTGTTCAGGTTGAAAATGTCATCAAAAAAATCAAGGAGTTCTTTCCGCAAGACGGGCTTGTTCCTATTTATGTCAATCCTCATACTGCTAGTGCGAGTAACAGGATAACTTTTGGTGCGATGGGAGACAGGTATTGGCCACTTCGCATTTTCTTGTTGCCTTGACTGACATTGTACGTGGAAAGCTTCTACGAGTACCTCTTAAAGGTCTGGGTTCTGGGAAATAAAACACAGGCTGTTCAGCATTACAGGTACGTTGTGCGTGCTTCATACCTTTGGTCTTAGTGATCTTTTTCCAGGGACATGTGGGAACAGTCCATGGAAGGGTTGATGAGCTTGATCCGCAAATCAACTCCTTCGTCGTACACTTATATAGCGGAGCGTTACGGTTCTGGCGGTGGATACATCGACAAAGTGAGTCTAGCTCTGTTTCGGTCTAGATCTTTGTGCAAACTTTTGTATTTTTTAGATGGACGAGCTCGCATGCTTTACGCCAGGCATGCTTGTGCTCGGATCCAACGACGGCCCGGATGAGAAAAAAACCAAATACCTGGACCTTGCGAAAGAGGTACTACCTGGTGAATTCTCTAAAGTACGATATAGATCGGCATGTCTTGCAGCTAGCTCGGACATGTTATAACTTCTACCGTTCTACACCAACTGGTCTTGCTGGCGAGAATTATAACTTCATTTCTGGCCAGGTATGTAGCTTGTTGTAGTTCTCATTGTTTCTAAACTTTTTCTCGCTCGCGCAGGATATGAGTGTTGGCACGGCTTGGAACATTCTAAGACCAGAAACTGTCGAATCTCTTTTTTACTTATGGCGAAAGACCGGAGATACAAAATACAGAGACTGGGGATGGGATATATTCCAGGCCTTCGAGGCTCGATCGCGAGTTGACACTGGATACGTCGGGCTTAGAGATGTAAGTGAAAAACTTTAGCTCCTTTTTCTTGTTTGCTAAGTTTCTCTCAGGTTCGTAGCGGCGAGAAAGATGATAAGATGCAAAGTTTCTTCCTTGCCGAGACCCTCAAATACTTGTACCTTTTGTTCTCTCCATCCAGCGTCATTCCTCTCGATCAATGGGTTTTCAACACCGAGGCTCACCCGATTAAAATCGTCCAGAGAGACGGCGGCGCTCCTGGAAGCTCGGAAGATTTTGTCAAGCAGCAAATACACCGGAAGCAAAGGCTGGGGAGGCTCGGCGGCGACTCAAACATCGCGCGACAGTAAAAGCAAAGTTTTGTGTCCACTAACGTTATATTTCCCAAAGGTCTTTACTTAAAGGTGAAAGCCTAATGTATAAAGATCCTATTTAGGGCATATTCCAAGGTTTTAGGGTTCTTAGATTCATGAGCATTCTCACTCCGCCTTCTTCCCCCGCGCTCTCCTCCGCCTCGGACGATTTTGCTCTCCTCCTCGATTCCGAGCTCGCCGCTGAATCTGCCGACGAAGGATCCGAGCCCGCGGCCAACAGGGAGGAAGCGGAAGATCTCGATGACGAGAATGAGGAGAGGTAACGATCATTCTCATCTCAATGTCGGTGCGATGGATATTTCTTGGCAGGAGGAAGAGATTACGGCTGGATTCCGCGAGCAATTGTGAGTGGAATCTTTGTTTCTTTGTTAGAATGCGGGCGCTTAGCAAAATTTCTGCGTGTGCTGTGTGTTTCAGCGAGCTGTCCTCCACATCCCGGATTTATGTGGGGCGTTTGTATACGTTGCGGTGTGCTCAAGCCAAATTCAGAGCCTGGAGGAAGCGCCAGCAACGTTGCCTTGAAATACATCCATGAGGTAAGAGATTTCGTTGCCAGATCGTTTTTTGGTTCATCCTTCTGGTTTTAGGAGTTTGAGCTTGCTGGAGATGTTCTAGCTCGTGTTCGTGAAGACGAGCTTCGGCAAGTGTTGGGCAAACGGAAGCTCTTCCTGGTTTTGGATTTGGATCATACTCTACTGAACTCTGCGCGCTGGATGGAAGTTTTTCCAGATGAGACGGCTTACCTTGAGCACACCTACATGAATGTTCCGGAAGACAAAATACCAGCATTATCCAATGGTGCTCCAGGTATCTTACTCCATCTTTCTTTTTTTCTTGTTTCCAGCTTTTGTTCTTTGTATTTCAGCTGTTGCCGGTGTTATTCAACCTGGAGGGGGAGGACTGCACCGGATTCACGGCATGCAATTGTGGACAAAGCTGCGGCCTTTCGCTCATAAGTTTCTAGAAGAAGCAAGCAAACTGTTTGAGATGTATGTGTACACAATGGGCGAGAGGATGTACGCTGTGACAATGGCTCATCTCCTTGATCCCACCGGAAAGTTTTTCAAAGGTAGAGTCATCTCGCAACGCGACAGCACTTGTAGACAGACGAAGGACCTGGACATCGTTCTTGGAGCCGACTCGGCAGTGCTCATCCTTGACGATACAGAAGCGGTACTTATTTCTTAAGTTTCTATCTTTCGTTTTATTGGGAATGTCTGCTTCCAGGTCTGGCCGAAACATCGAGCCAATCTCATTGTCATGGAGCGATACCATTTCTTCCAGTCAAGCTGCCGGCAATTTGGTTTGGAAAACCCGTCTCTTACGAAGGCCGAGAGGGACGAAAGCAAAGACGAAGGCGCGCTAGCAAACGTGCTCAAAGTCTTGCAAAGGATCCACAGCGACTTTTTCATGGTTTGTTTTAGCTTTTTCGAAAGAGTTTTTTTTTCTGGAAAGCTGCCACTTGCATCACTTTCCTTTCTCTACTGTCGCAGGAAAGCGATGATTCTCGTTACACTTGCGACGTCCGCGATGTAAGTCATTATCTCTTCGTTCTCTTCGCTGATTCCAACGCTATCCAGATCACCAGCGTCGTCCGGTCGGAAATACTCTCGGGGTGCAAGCTCGTGTTTAGCCGGATCTTCCCGACCGACTGCCTGGAACCCGAGCTCACTCCACTGTGGAGACTGTGCGTGGATCTGGGGGCCGAGTGTGTTCTAGCGCACGACGACTCGGTCACTCACGTAGTAGCGCTGGATCGATTCACGGACAAGGCCAAGTGGGCGAAAGAGCACCGAAAGTTTTTGGTCCATCCGGCGTGGGTGGAAGCAGCGCACTCGCTGTGGAGAAGACCAAACGAGTTGGAATTCCCAGTGCGCGAAGGCCAAACGCGAGCTCCAGTGTTTACATTTGCAAAGACTGTAAATGTAGAAGTCGAAAGGAATCGGGAAGAGAAAGACCAAACAAACTAGAACGATGAAATAGCTTGTGAGTGATATAGAATATTCGAAGTATGACTGGAATATTCTTTTATTTTTTGTGTGTCTTTGTGTTAGATCTAGGGTTCATCAATCTGCGGTGCTGGGGGAGCTATGCCCATTCTCGCCACGTTCGAGGATCAGGAGCGCGAGAGCGAGTATGGATACATCCGCAAGGCAAGCGCGATCGCTCCATGGCTTTTCTTTGGATTTCCAGCTGCATTTGGATTGAGTGATTGGAGGATTGGATGGATTGATTTGATCGCAATGCGATTTTGTTCCAGGTCTCCGGGCCTGTGGTCATTGCCGAGAATATGGCAGGCGCGGCGATGTATGAGCTGGTTCGCGTCGGGAATGACAAGCTCATGGGTGAGATTATTCGATTAGAAGGGGACTCGGCAACGATTCAGGGTATTGCTTTCTCGTTTCTTTTTTGTGATTGGAAGCTTTTCCTTAGCTGCAATTCTCGCGATTTTCTTGTAGTGTACGAGGAAACCGCTGGCTTGACCGTGAATGATCCAGTTCTTCGAACACACAACGTTTGTTTTCCTTTCTTTCTTTTTGATTTGTTTGTGAGTTTTTTTGACTTAAGCATTGAAACAGCCACTGTCAGTAGAGCTTGGACCTGGAATTTTGAGCAACATCTTCGATGGTATTCAGGTATCACGGCTATGCATGAAAACTTTGGTTTTGAGGTCTATTTTGTTTGATTTGCAGCGTCCTCTTAAATCCATTGCCATTAAGTCGGGCGATGTCTACATCCCGCGAGGAGTTGCTGTGCCAGCACTTGACAAGGATAAGCTGTGGGAATTCTCTCCAAAAAAGATTGGTACGCTAATTTGTTCACTCGTAGTTGCTAACGAGCCTTTTTTTTTTTGTTTTTTTTGTTTTTTGTATTTGCAGGTGTTGGATCCGCCATCACTGGTGGAGACTTGTATGCAGTAAGTATGTGATAAGGATGAACAGCACAACAGGTTTCACCTATTTTTCTTTTGCAGATTGTCCATGAGAACTCGCTTATGGAACATCATATTGCTCTCCCTGCGGATGCTATGGGGAAAATAACTTATATTGCACCGCATGGTCAGTATAGTCTCCAGGTTAGTGGTAAGTGGTCCGTGTGGTATCGTTTGGACTCACGTTTTGCTGCAGGACAAGGTTCTGGAGCTTGAATTTCAAGGTACAAAGAAGCAGTTCACTATGCTTCAGGTAATCAATCAACTGTATGTTAACAGTTCTGAAGTTATGATGTTTTCTTTATCAGATGTGGCCTGTCCGAACGCCACGACCTGTAGCATCTAAGCTTCCTGCAGACACTCCTTTGCTTACTGGACAGGTATGTGAAATTTTATTGTCGAGCTAGAGCTGAACTGGCCTTTCCTTACAGCGCATTTTGGATGCTCTGTTTCCTTCCGTGCTAGGGGGAACCTGTGCTATTCCGGGAGCATTTGGCTGTGGAAAGACCGTTATTAGTCAGGCGCTTTCGAAGGTATTTGGAGTTCATTTGTAATGCGTGACTGACTTTGTCATGAAACAGTTTTCGAACTCTGACGCTGTCATTTACGTGGGATGTGGCGAACGAGGAAACGAAATGGCTGAGGTCGGTTCTAGAATTTCCCATTTTTCTTATCTTTGTTTCTACAAATCACCTCTTGCAGGTGTTGAAAGACTTTCCACAGCTTACTATAACACTTCCTGATGGACGCGAAGAGTCTGTCATGAAGCGTACAACTCTCGTCGCTAATACTTCAAATATGCCTGTGGCGGCACGAGAAGCTTCAATTTACACGGGTATGTCCTTCCAATTCAGGCTCAGCGCTGATTTTATCGATGGTTTCAGGCATTACTCTGGCTGAGTATTTCCGTGACATGGGCTATAATGTCAGTATGATGGCTGACTCGACGTCGAGATGGGCCGAAGCCTTGCGTGAAATATCCGGTCGACTCGTAAGTCTCTGATTTTCTTTCTATTCCTAATTTACAAACGCCGCGCAGGCCGAAATGCCTGCCGACAGTGGTTATCCAGCGTATTTGGGTGCACGTTTGGCTACGTTTTACGAGCGGGCTGGAAAGGTTAAATGCCTTGGTAGTCCCGACAGAACTGGAAGTGTTTCTATTGTCGGTGCCGTGTCTCCTCCTGGTGGCGATTTCTCAGACCCTGTTACGGCAGCGACTCTTAATATTGTCCAGGCAAGCGTCTTTGTGCCAGTTGTTTTTCAGTGTTGACTGGGACACTGTTGTTTGTTGCAGGTGTTTTGGGGACTTGACAAGAAGCTTGCGCAAAGAAAGCATTTCCCTGCTGTCAACTGGCTGATATCTTATTCGAAGTATACCCAGGTGAGAGACATTTATATCTTGTCTCGTGGAAAACCATTGATTGTTTCTTTTGATGCAGGCATTGGAGGGATTCTATGAGCATTATGATCCGAACTTTATTTCAATCCGAACAAAAGCACGTGAAGTGCTACAAAGAGAAGACGATCTAAACGAGATTGTTCAGGTACGTGAACTGGTGAGAGATTCAAAGTCAGTACTTTCTTTTCACAGCTTGTCGGCAAAGATGCGCTGGCCGAGGGAGATAAGATTATTCTTGAGACGGCCAAGCTCTTGAGAGAGGATTATTTGGCGCAAAACGCTTTCAGTGTGTACGTGTTCCGGGCTTGCTCTTGTTTATCGCTAACAATCTGCTCCAGATACGATAAGTTTTGTCCGTTCTACAAGTCCGTTTGGATGATGCGAAACATCGTTCATTTCTGCGACCTGTCCACTCAGGTATGCACTGCCATACCTCTTTCACGTCCTTGAAAATTTACTTTCTCTTGCAGGCTGTTGAGAAAGCTGCCGGATCCAAGGGTCAGAAAATAACTTTCAACATCATCAGGCAGCGCCTCGGAGACATCATATACCGTTTAGTGTAAGGACTCTCGATTTTTTCTTGAAGCCACCATTGCACTTCCTTTTCCAGCTCCCAAAAATTCGAAGATCCGGCCGAGGGCGAGTCTGCGCTGTGCTCCACGTACCAGAAACTCTACGACGATTTGACAACCGCGTTCCACAACTTGGAAGACGAGTACCGCGCGGCATAAGATAGAACTGGTTTTCTCCACCCGTAAATAACGTCTCGTCGCGCTTGGTAAAAAACCATTCTTTTCTTTGCGTCCAAGCTCTCCATAGGTGGTTCTCTGCGCAATATTTATATACTACTCCTGGTATTTTTTTTGCTTTGAGCTAAGTTTGTTCCAGTGGCAGTGGCAGCAGCAAACTCTCACGATCTAGCTACTGTCACTCCAGGCTTTATCAGTTGCTTGGAATCTATACTCTCTTGGGACTCAAGTAAGCGATGCGCCAACCATGACAGCATTCATGAATGGGGCCATCCATCCCCATCCATGCATGTGTCATAGCCATGGCATATGCGCCATACGTTCAAGGTATATACCTATCGGAGCCAGCGCATGGCCATGGGTCCCATGCCCTCATGATAATGACCATGGCCATAAACGCGACACATGCCACAAAACCAACGGTGTCGGTGGCGTGGCATATTCGCGTGGCATCTTTTTAGTGTACGGAATTCGCTGCCAGAGTGAGTACGGATGGCCGAGGATCCAGCGTCTCTGTCCAAAGCACACGAGGAACATTAAGAAATTTTCACCTATGTGGCGAGGCTAGTGTTGTAAATGTAATTTACGCTATCACGCGGGCTTTACCATGGTCAAAGCAAATAAGAAAAAGAAGATAGCCCTTTACACGGGATATATTATTTTAATCTCGCGGTAACTACTGTTCTTGTGTGTGTGGTGGCTCTGTTCTTTCTTCCAGGCGCTAGGTCTAGCGCTTTGGAGGAGGAGTGTGATTCTCGCAAGACGATGCTGCCGCCGCCGGGATCTGCTGTGGATTGCTCCCGCGTCATGTCCACCTCCCGAAATCTGGGGCTTCGGCGCCGCTGCGCGACGCGCTCCTGATCTCGTGGAGCCGGGAATCCATCCGATCCGGCTGGGGCGCGCCGGGCATTCCGATCTGATGCGTGCCGCCAGGCGCTAGATAGATTCTCCTCATCGCGTCAAGAAGGGGGAGCGAAATTTCAGGATTGCGCGTGGATTAGCGGCAATGTCGGACAGTAGCAGCGGCTCGGCGTCATGTAGCAGTGATTCTATCTCCGGCGGCAGCACGGATTCCATATGCCTCGACTTGGGCATGGTTCCATGGGGAGGACAGGTAATATAACGGTTTCTTCGTAGAATGTAGGCTATGGCTTTCACGAATTGCTAGAATTTGAGGGAGCTAGCTCCTTGTTTTTCCCCTTGTGTGCTTTCTGGACGATCCTTACAAATTTTCTTCTCTTTGTTTTTCTTTGGGCAGAGTCATCTAGTATCAACCTCTTACGGCCCAATTTCTGTGATAGTTTGTGGCGACCAGGACAAACCTGGGCTTCTTACGTACCCAGACTTGGCTCTCGATAGTAAGTGTTTCTTTCTTTGTTCCTCTTTCACTAAAGCTGCTATATCCATCCTTTTTTTTTTCCTTTCTTTTGAGCAGCTGCTTCTTGTTTCGATGGATTTTTCTCATGCCCGGAAACGTCGTCTCTGGTGTTTCACAACTTTTGCATTTATCATATTGAGGCTCCGGGTCACGAGGTTCGTACTTTCGTGAAAGAAGGTGTGAGAGAAGTTAGAAATTTCTTTTAATTCTTCTTCTTTCGGTTGCAGGTCGGTGCTCCTGCGGTGCCATCCAACGCACGCCTTCTTTCGGTGGATGACTTGGCAGATCAAGTTGCCGAAGTCTGCGACTATTTTGCGTATGTACAGTTCTTCCTTGTGGACTTTTATCTTATTCAGCTGTTCGTGTTGTTTATTTCAGGTTGCAAGAGGTGATATGCTTGGGCGTAGCGGCTGGTGCGTATATCCTCTCGTTGTTCGCGGTGAGCAGCTCTTCCTTGTCATCTGGACTTTGATTAATCTAGTTTTCGTGCACACAGATGAAGTACCGGGAGCGTGTGCTTGGCCTTGTTCTGGTCTCGCCAATCTGCCGAGCTCCAAGCTGGTCAGAGTGGCTATACGACAAGGTTGGTTGGATTTGAAATGTCATATCAGTATACTGAAAGATTCCTTGTACCAGGCGGTCATCAATTTGCTATATTTCATGGGAATGTGTTCATTCGTTCGGGACAGTCTTTTAGAAAGATATCTTAGTCCAGTAAGGAGATTGCTAGCTTTCCTGGTTCCGATTGGTTAGCTCATCACGTCATGATCTTGTGTAGGATACTTTAGCGTCCGGAGAGTCGGGAGCTCTTGCAAGATATCAAAAGGTACAGTGCAAATTCTCCCTGTGCTCTAGACAAAGGTTGTCTTGCTCGCGCAGGTTTTAGATGACAGACAAAGCAGGAACGTCATGCATTTCTGGCAATCGCTCCACAGGTAAAACTGTTCAGCGCAAGATTTTATGTACAGCGCGCTCAAAGCTGTGTTTCACTCGGACAGGAGAAAGGACCTGACGGCGGGGCTGATGAATCTCAAGTGCCGGACGCTCGTGTTTGTGGGGGAGCACTCACCGTTTTACAACGAGGCGGTCTACGTGAACTCTCAAATGCCATCGACGTCCACGGCGCTAGTGGCGGTAAGCATTCAAAGTTCCAAACTTCTAAACGTGATTCCACCACCCGCAGGTCCAAGAGGCTGGCACGCTAGTGACGGAAGAACAGCCACTGTCGATGCTAGTCCCCATGGAGTACTTTCTGAAGAGCTTTGGGTTTGGCAAGCCGCCGTCGACGAGCCAGAACTCGTCTCCGCCGACGAGCCCGCTCAGCTTGCTGCCTTGCATTTCCCCGGAGCTGCTTTCTCCCGAGAGTCTTGGCCTCAAGCTCAAGCCCATCAAAACCAAAGCTCCAGTCGATGATTAGATTCGTGGCTCCTCGCCATCGCCATTTATCCCGGTGTTCATCACTCCGGCCATTTCTTCCTCATTCCTCTTTTCTTTTCTTGTACAAGATTGTCTGTGCTCCCCTCCCATTCTTTTTTTTTCCTCTCTCTCTCTCTCTCTCTCTCTCTCTCTCTTTCTTCCTTGACGAGAGTTGTTTGTTATTACGCGGCGGCTTATTATTGTTCAGGAATAATTGTGGCACAATTTTTTTGAGGAAGGATTCTTATGATTCCTGTAAAAAATAAAAAACAAAGCTTCAAAGTTGTACTGTGCGTACAACAGTAAACACGTTTTTACTTCTCTCAAAGTCTCCATGGATCTTTTACAAAACAGATGTGTGTAGTTCTTTCAAGGAAAAAAAACACAAGATCTTTGGCACAAATTTGTGTACCTACTGTAGATTTGGCGTTATTTACTTCTTCCTTTCGATGCTATGGAGCAATAAGTTTGCGCCGCCACCTTTAGGTTCTTGCTCTAGCGCATTCGCGAGTGTGTGAGTGAATTTCACCTCAGGGGTCGAACCAGCTCGGGTTGTAACACCAACAGCTCGGACAAAGAGTGGTGCTGTTGCTTTCCATCCGTGTCATCGCCACTGCAAAACAAACATGGTGCTCGCTGAGTGAGTGACTACGCTCGAAGATCAAAGAGCTCGATAACTTACCAGGTTCTAGTGTCGAGGTTGAGGAGCCTGTGATTGATCCTCAAGTCGTCCGTAACGTAGCTGGCAACGAGAGCTCCAGCGTCGGGGTGAGGCCAGCTGCGAGAGCTCGCGAAACGGAGTATAAAGCTGCCCGTCTTTGGGATTCCGTCCACGCCGCGCAAGAGCTCCTCGGCCTCCTTGCGAGACACCATTCCTTCTATCCACTTGGGAGTGACGCTCTCCCACGTCTTGCGGACCTGTGGAGTCGCCACCGTCATCGCCACGGGATAAAGCCATTGCCACAACCTGTCGAACTGCTCACGCGTTGTCGTCGCGTTTCCAGTCCCGCAGTTCTGCTGGATGAATTCGATGTCCTGAAAAAAAGGCCTTGTTTGTGATATAATCTTTTGAGATACAATCGTTACCTTAGAGGTGAAACGTCTTTTACTCTGGCCAGAGATGTTGTAGAAGCTCTCTTCCAGCTTGCTCATCAAACTTGGCCATGGAGCTGAGTAGCCATCGTGAGAAACCTGCCTCCAAATGTCTTCTCCTTCTCGTAGCAGCTTCTTTGCGATCAAAACTTGATACCTGAGAAGTTTATGAAACATTAGCAACCAGGAAGGAGATAAACGAGAATAGAAAACGAATCGCCATCATACCCGTTATGTTGGCACCCGGTATATTGAGAGACTCGGCCGGCGAATTCATGAAGCTCTTCTTCGGTTTTGCTCACAACGAGTGCTCTCAGAAATGCTGCTCGGCTGTGAATTGTTTCTAAGCAGTACTTGAATACCATGTAGTCCGAGAATGCCTTCTCCCCACAGCTGCTGTTCATGAAAGCCGGAAAGCTCTTGCGGCTTTCTGGACGTTGCTTCTTGTCCATTGCCTTGTATACACTAGCCGGAGCAGGCCGCGAGCACGTTGCAGGAGCTGGCGGAGGAGCCATTCTTTGGGATCCAACAAGACCGTCGGCACCTTTGGATATCACTGAGCCTTCTGGCGTTTTGTCTGCCGGCATCGGAAACCGTGAAGGTAACTTATCATCTCCAATGCGTGGCGCCTTGCTTGGTGCGAACTTCGGAGCGGCCATGCCGTTGGATTCATTCGCTCGTAATGTTTCAGGTCGATCCTCTGCCGCTGAAGGTAAGTTGGTGCCATCGACCGGGTAAACGGCTGCGAAGGAACGCTTCCAGGGTGCTGAAGGCGTTCGACTATTTCTGTTTCGCGAAACGCAGCGGATCGGCCGCGAGAAAACTCTGAGAAATGGAAACTTTGGAATGTTTGGCGACTCGAAGCATACACGAAACAGTCGGTTGTCACATTTCGAGGAGAGCTGCATGCAAAAGACACAAGCTGAAAACTTTCAAAAATATCCAACCCTTGCAGCATACCTGCGAAATCTTTAGCTTAAAAGAAGCTCTACCGTGGACTAGTTTGATAGGCCTCTCAGTAGATGGGAATTCTACTCCATCGAATGTAGTTAAAAGCGGCGCTTCTGCGTCATCTTTTGGCTTTTCAACCAGATAGCCCGTATCCGCATAGACAAGGGACGCGACAAGCTGCAGAAAGTGAAAGAAGTAAGTGCCAATCTGATACTAGAAGAGCAAAGTCACCTCTATATCTTTGTGAATAGCTCGTCCCAAGGCATCCAACAAAACCACATCAAGAGCAAAATTTCTGCGACATGATGCCTTGCCTCCAACGACGCTCCATACGCCATCTCCTCCTTCTTCAAGTTCATGGTCCTCGGATCCTCCAGTCGAGCCATCAAGCGACAGCTCCAGAGGTGGATTCTGTGACAAAAGTCGTCGTAAAGGAAAAACTAAAGCAAAATCAAAGGCAGTACCTTTACGTAGTGATTGGTCACGGATGGTTGCGGAAGGACACAAACATGATGTGCATATGCTTGCACAAAACCGCCACGATTTTGTCCGTCTCCACCACTAAGTTTAACAGGTTCTACGGTCTCGTCACATGATGGAAAGCTTATTGCCTTCTCTCCAGTTACGACGCCATCAATGTGTAGACGTGCAATGTTGTGTCCAATCTACAAATCAAAACATGACTTTTAGAAATCCTCCCATCTCATAAAAACTTCATCAGCAGCTACCTCACACCCAACGTGCACCCATTTCTCAACTGGACAACTTTGATCAGCAAGTACATCGAGCTCGCTTGATTCGGTTTGAACCAAGGGATGAAGAACCAGCCGTAAATCGTTGTCGAGTGATAGAAATGGAAGCGATTGGATACTCGAAGTAGACTGTATGCATAGAAACATAGCACAAACACTCTTTAGCTCATGAGAGGAAAACAAGAGGCTCACCTGTCGGATGATAACCCCGGGGTGTCTGTTGTTCTTCAAGAGATACATCCACAAACATAGCGTGTAAGTGCCATCCTCGCTGGTGTTCTCTCGAGTTAAAGTCACTTGCAAATCGTCTAGAGGTAAGTACTCATCGTTGTCAAACACGGCGAACGCTTTGGACAGTTTCACGGCCATGAGAAGGCGCTACTCCCCGTCTCGCACGAACTGGCATTTCACAGAAGAGAGCACGAATCAATCAGTGGTCACAAAGCTAGACTAGACGCACAGAAGAGATGGCATCCAAAACCCCATTAGACCTCACACCGCATCCATTCCCAGCCGCAATTCGGCGCTGCCAATCTCCAAATGTAGATTGGAGCCTCCGCCGGCTCGATAGCGCGGCGCGCGCATCCAGCGAGCGTCCAGGCCATCGACCGCAGCGATATTTCGAGCTACAACGGGAGAATCGAGCTTACCTAGTCATCCGGCGACGAAAATATCCAGGAAATCCAGATCCGACAGCGGGAATCTGTGCTCCATCCCAGCCGCATCGCGGATCCTATGCCGCCGCGCTTCAATCCCTAGCGCATCGTAGCGGAAGAACAAATCTTGAGTAAGACTGTGTGTGTGCGTTGCCAGCAGAGTTCATCCTTCACAGGAAAAAGAGCTCAACCTTCCTCGCCGCCGTACCTATTCTGGTTTTATGACCGGTCACTGCCGCCATTCAGCCGGTTGTCAGTTTGCTTCATTTCGTACGAAATAGGGCTCGTGGCCGGTTAGCCTGTCAAAGCACTTACCGGTCAATCCGTACGCCCACTTAAAATTATCTGTCCACCTCGGTTGCCACGTCGACTAACACGTCACTACACTTGGAGACGTTAGAGAAGTGAAATTAGGGCAGCTAGAATGCTCATCAAGCGCAAGCTCAGAATAAGAGCATCGCGGTCGATCTATTGCCCTGATCGTCGCCGACATCGCAATCCTTCTGTAAATCACAACTTCTCACAGAGGAAGAGAGAAAATCCGAATGGAGGTTGGTATCTCTACATTTGACATGAAAGTATCTTTTCTTTGGACAATGTTGGAGAGGATCTAGAGCTAGAGGTGATTAATCCATTTCTCTAACACTCACTCATAGTGAATTGCTACAGGACATCCTGTCGCTGAAGAAAAAGCTTTAGATACGTGCTGCCGATGATAATCTTCCTGTGTCTCTCAGGAGTTTCCAATAGCTTAGCTCGAAGTATCCTTCAATCCAGAGTGTTAGAACTTATGAATCATAGATACGGCTGTGAAGCAAACGATATTCATCCTGCCGATCTTAATGAAGCCGAAGGTACCAAGTTTCACCTTTCAAGTTCTCTTCATAAAACCAGCTTTCGTATTTGCAGGACGCAGTGGTCGAGCTGGTCGGCCAGCAAATGCTTTGACACTGTATGCCGGCCGAGGAAGACTGCGGTCTATCGCCAACGTCATGAAAGCTTCTGGCTGTGATGGATGCTTTCCTTGCCCAAGGTTCACAAAAGGAACCAGAAGCGTATCAGGCGAGAGCTAGCGCGTGAATGACTTGCAAGTTTTCCCAGTCTTTAAGCTTCTGCAGAAACGTTCCAGGAGAAAGTTATAAGGGAGAACATTGACAAGTCACCTGGTTGTGAGTACCACTGACGCAATGTAGCCTGCAGACCAAACATTCTAAGTTAGTCTTTCATTGCAGCGTGTTAGCAAACGTACCGGACAAACTGGACTGGCCTCGAGGCCTTGCTCAAGCTCCTCAAAAGAGATGAGCATTTTCACAGGTCTTAAATGTGACAAGCTGCTCACAGCTTTTCCATCCGAGTACCCAATAAGCTCGCGCTCCAACAAGTGCTCAAAGGCCTACTCCATGTAAAACATTTGGTTAGGAGCTTTTCAGGAAATTGAAAACCTTGTAAGCAGCCTTTTTCGAATAGGAATCGGAACTCTTATAACCATCTTGATACTCTGCAAGAACAATTTGAGCGAGAATATGGTTTAAGTCAGTGGCTCTTACCTTTGAAAACAGAGTTGAAGGTATAGGTGTCACGCTCTTTGTTCTCCAGACGCTTCATTGATGTAAGCAGAAAAAGCTCGAGCACAGACAAATCTATATGAGTAAACCATTAGATGAAATATACGAGAGCCATTTCAGCAGCTACCAGCAAGTGCGCAAATTGTCGGTGGATGTTTTGGTGTTGTAGACTTGGTGTTTTTTAAGTAGTCCAACAGGTTCCGAAAGCTACATAGAAGTTGAAAATCAATGAACTGTAATGAATAGCTTACTCACACTGAGTCAATAATATTTCTTGGACTAGAATCAAGTGCTGCCAGCTTATTCACGAGCTCTTTCGTGGTCTCCATTTGTAGCCAGGCCTAAGAAACAACGAGGACTTCTAATTTTCACAAGAAAGAGAGGCTACTACCGAGATTTTTGCGTTGAAAGCGTTGGCATGCTGAGCCAGGTTTGCAGATGAATCGACTGGAATAACTAGTACCGTTTCCAGAAACCTGACGACAGAGCAGAAATATGTACTAAAATTTGATGAAATGAAAGCTTACCTGGTGATCTCTTCACTAGCAGGAGGAAGAAAAAGGATCTTGCGTTGTGAAAAACGAGATCTCACTCGTTTTTCTAAGAGTTGGTCGGCATCCTAGAGAGGAACAATAAGAGAAAGAGTTTCTAAGATATATATATACCAGTCTGCAGCTGATACCAATTACAGCTGCTTGGGAAGAGGGCGATTGCAACAGATCCAACAAGTTGTACAGAAGGGACTGCTTTGGTTTCTGCAAACAAGAGACAAGGTAGATGCAAGAACTAGTTTCAGCAAAAAAAACCTGCGCAAAAAGATCGAATTCGTCCAGAACAAGAACAAGGGCCTTGTGAGAGAAAGAAAACTGCCTGGGAGGACACTTAAGCACATAAAAATGGAACCTTGGTCACGTAAAAGAGGCACGTACTCCAGAATAACAGTCAGGAATCGCAAGTTCTCCTCAAAGGATGCCTGCGGGGAGAAAGAGCGTGAATAAACGAAAATAATTCCAAAGAACTCACAGCTTTGGAAAACTCGAGCTCGTGTTCCACGCATAGTTGCTTTGCAATCTCCTGTCATCAACATCACTCAAAACGTTATTCGTGAAAAGCGAGAGACTTCATACATACCTTTAAAGCACTTCGATCATCGGCATGTAAAAGACCATTCAGCCTAACCTGAGAACGAAAACAACAGAACAAAAGTTTTAGAGGTGAGATAACAAACAAAAGATCTTCCCTACGATCGAAATTCGATCCGGAAAAGTCTCCTGGATTTCTCTCAAAACGTGCTCGAGCACCTACATTGGGTGCTAATGTTAAAACCAGAAAGAAACCAATGTAGCTAGAACGGGTACCATGGATTTACCACAGCCTCGGGGCCCAAGAAGCAACGCTGAATTGTTGCACGCTTGACAAATCGTGTGCCTGAAAAGATCATACAGTTTCCTGGAGAGGAAAAAAGTTGCGCCGAGCGACCAAAACTCGAAAATTCGCCCCACCTTCGATTCTCCTCGGCGCTTGCGAACACCGGAGACGCTCGCGGATCGTAGAGCCGGCAACGGAGAATCTGCATTGCCGCGTCCAGAAGAGCCATCGTAAACCCAAGAACCCTAAAAATGAAAATGCTCTTAGCTACGTGGCAGGGGAATCTGTCCACCTCTGTTGCCACGTCGACTGACATGTCACAACACTTGGAGAGACGTTATAGAGAAGGGGGAAAGTTTAGGGCAGCTAGAAAGGAATCCATGGGCGTTGGGGGAGGATTTTGGGAGCTCATCAAGCCGCTGCGCCATAGCTCCGAAGATCTGTCAACGCTTCAGGATAAGCGCCTCGCAATCGATCTGTCCCATTGGATCGTCCAGCAGGAGGCCGTGCTCAAAGACAGGGCGCGCAAGCCTCACTTGCGTCTTTTGTTCTTCCGCGTCGTCACGCTTGTTGCCAAGGCAAGATTGCCGGTTTTTCTGCTCGATTTCTCAAGAAATTTTCACTCCAGGTCGGTGCATTGCCTGTTTTCGTGGTGGATGGAGACGCGCCATTGCTGAAGCTGCCTGCGAGGATCGAGCGCTTCAGTCGCTTTTCCGGAATTCCCGCCGCTCAGCTGAATGGAGGTGATAATCATCGGAATCGGGCTTTCCTCGAGAATGTAGAAGAGTGTGTGGTAAGTTTTCTTACGTCCATGAAGATTTTCTTCACGAAAGTTTCTCTCTATAGGAACTTCTGGGCTTGCTCAACGTACCGGTGTTACGTGCAACGAGCGAGGCGGAAGCCTTGTGTGCGGAGCTGGAGCGAAATGGCGTTGTAGACGCTTGTGTGACACCCGACAGTGATGCATTTCTTCACGGTGCGAGGTGTGTGATTCAAACCTTGCAAGCGGACATCAAAGTAAGGTGGGGATTCTTCTCTAAAGCTGCTGTAATTGTGGGAAGTCTGACAGAAACCTCTTGTGGAGTCATATCTTGCTTCAGACATCAGACTTGCGTTGCAACTCGAACGAGAACATCTTATTGCGTTAGCTCTCCTCGTAGGTTGCGACTACAATTTGCGTGGAATACCTGGTGTTGGCTACAGCAATGCAATGCGCCTGGTTCAGCATTTTTCTAAAGACGAGATCCTTGACAAGTAAGCCGGTTTTTTATTTTTTATTTTTGTTGTCTTATTGCTATCGATCTTAATTTCCTTGCTAATGGATCAGTCTTCGAAAATGGGGAAGGCGTGAGTATCCATCACCAGAAGTTATAGGAAAACTAAGTGATTCGGCAAATGGATTCGACAGCAAAGAAGGAGATGATGCTGCATTGCATCTTGGACGAAGAAAAGATTCTCATTGTTCTATGTGTGGGCATCCCGGGAACAAGAAACTTCATACCAAGCTAGGCTGTGAAGATTGCGGGTCATTGAACACTGCCGGATGCTCTCAAAAAGCGAAGAACTTCAAGTGTGGCTGCGGGAGTTGCGCACAGGTATCATATGTAAGATGCCTTTTGCGCCAGGTTTCTAACACTGTTGTTTGCAGGATCGAAGAAGAAAGAAGCATGAGAAAGATGTGACATGGTGGTCAAATCTCCGTGCAAAAATTTCTGCGATTGAAGACTTCCCAAACGAAGAAATTATTGAGATTTTTCTGAATACTGGGGCCACTAGTTATCTTAGAGGTTCGTACAGACGCTTTACAAACATACGTGTGAGCATCAACTTTTATCATGTTTCAGAAGGGCAATCCTTGGATCTTCGCTGGGAAGCTCCTCAAATGGAACCTCTAGAACTATTTCTCGGTTCGCATTTACATTGGGATGTAAGTTATATTCGCAAGAAGGCACTTCCACTACTGTCGCACTATTGTCTGAAGTCCATCGCCGAAGGTCCTTCAATGGCCCTTCTCAACGGTCGATATACCCCTACCTCTATACTGAAACTCAAAACGAACGTGGGAAAACCACTGTACGTAGTGAAGTGGAATGCGGTGGATAGCTTTGGCGGGCCCGGTGGAGAAACGAATGAGGATTCCATTACAACTGACGAACAGATTTCGTTAATCAAAAGAGCTTGTCCGGCTCTTGTTTCGAAGTTTGAAGATCAGCAGGTAAACTGTTTCTTACTCAGTTATACAATCTTTTCTTTCTTTCTTTCTTTCTTTTTTGTTTTTTTATGTTGTTTTAGAAGTTCAAGAGACCGACTAGACGGAAAAAGAAAGAACCCGATCCAGATCAAAGGAGTATCATGTCCTTCTTCAAAGTAAAGTCCAAACAAGTTTCTTGGGAAGGAAGTGGCGTAGAGCTGTTGGCACCCACGGCTTTTCGTAAGGAATCTAACTCC